TGGGGAAGCAGGTAAAGCCAAAGGGGACAAACACAGGTATACAATATCTTATAACTGCAGCTTCTCTCTCGATCATTTTATTGCCATTAGCGGAACGTTTCTGAGCGCATTAAGACAAATCCATTGAAAATTGGACACGCTTTACTTGGTTCAGAAGTGAAATGGGTTCAGTCAATCCAGTAGAATAGATACTTTGGCAGAACAGAGAAGATCAGGTTTGAGAGCAACGTAGGCAGGATACACCTGAGTTACAAATGCATGTAATGCTCAATCCTTCCCCAGTTCTACCTGATCACTCTTCCGTGGAAAGGCAGAGTCAGCCTCCTGAGTGCTGTAGCCACAAAAGAGTTGAAAGCCCACATCAGGAGACATTAATCCTTGATTTTCCCCTTTTGGATGTGGCCCCTGCCTCATTGGGGAGAGAGATTTATATGCCGTGTCTTCAGACCACTACCATTGTCTCAGCTCCAACCCACATTGGAGGCTGCTTCAAGTTGGCTTCAGCTATTCCAGTTTTCATGTTGTTCCAAAACTTCCTCTTCTCCCAAACGTGGACATGATCTAGTATGCTTCACTGACATTGTGGTGGATGATGATGCAGTCGGCCTGGGTTTTGCCTCGCTCCTATTGGCCACCATAAGCTGGCCACACCTTTGCTGGGCCACTATGGTTTGGCAGAAGCATCCATCCAAGAATGCCCGGGTGGTGTTTTCCATAGCTCTTGTTAGATCTTATGTTCCTGATAATACCTGGGTTTTTTTCAAGGCTAGTTTGTCAACAAACTCGCTTTTGAGTGCTTTTCTGCTATATGGAGGGTCAATTTAAACCAAGAAAAAAGAGCCACATTCTTCCACCCCATGTGTCTGGTTCTGCCATCAACGAATGCACTGCAGATCATTCTCGACTGACAACCACTCATTAAGGGACCGTTCAAAGTTATGACGCTGCAAAATATGATCATTTTTCACACTTAAGACCATTGCAGCATCCCCACAGTCATGTGGTCAAGATTCGGACATTTGGCAATGGGCAAGTATTTATGATGGTTGCTGTGTCCCAGGGCCATGTGATCCCCTTTGATTCACTTTGCAACCATGTTACTAATAACAATTGCGATGACTTACTTAACAGCTGTCGCAAGAAAGGGCATAAAAATGACAAAACTCACTCAACAACTATCTTGCTTAGCAATGAAAATTTTGAGCCCAATTGTGATCCTAAGTCAAGGACTACCCTTACAGACATTTCTGCTGATAAGGGCCTGAGGGGTCATGTTTCCCCCTGTTTTTATTACTTTGGGGGGAAAGTGTGGTGTTTTGCTTACTTCATACAATTTGCATAGTTCACACCCTTCTTTTGAGAACTGCCCGCCATGAATACCCCTGCCCAAACGGCCGTTCTTCATAGTAGTGGATCAGAATGGATTCTCTACTCCATGCCCTTTCTCTCCTTTGAAAAGAGCACTAAATGGGTGTCCAAGAATTGCCCTGATGACAACCATGGATGGGAAGGGAGCAGGATGACACCCATGAGAATTCTGTACCTGCAGCCTTTTGGGGGGAAGAGGGGTGTCAGGGAACTTGTGAGTTGCTTGCAGATGCTTGCAAGCATCTGTCTACACTTCTCCATCCCCATCCTCGTCTCACTGCTCATTCAAGAGAATGATTGGCAGGTAATGGTTGGTGGGAAGACAAACGAAGTCAGAAGAATCCATCAACTTTCCTTTATTTGTCCCAGATTAAAACTATAACACCACAGTGGATCTAAGTAGGAGAGTTTGGATAACACAACAGCAAATTCTATGCTCAGGGACAGAAAAAAATAGAAAAAAATAGAAAAAAATCAGAAAAAGGGAGTTTTGGGAGAAGGTCCGGTTATGTGGACTACCCTAAGTACTTGTTGCTCTTCCAGGAGCCCTCTGTTAATTTCCTTTATGTGTTTGCATGACAGAGTTCACCAGGGAAGGTTACACCCAAAGCTGTTGGGAGCTAAAATTACTCCACTCTAACCCAAGCACAAGGGCTGGGCTGCTGTATCTAGGCTGCAAGAATTCTGGGTAACCACTAGATGGCACCACAGAGTTAGAGTTTTCTACTGTGGATCTACTAAGCTATTTCATGCAAATATGGCCTTCATAAATGTCACTGTTGACACATGCAGTTACTGTACTGGATTTATATTTCTCTGAGAGGTTGGTGGATTCATGGTTTCAAAAACGTCTATTTTTTAGACGTTTTTGAAACCATGAATGTCCTGAGCTGTAGGCCATTCTCCACCTTTGTTCTTGGAGTACTTAGTGTAGGAAACAATTTCAGATTTTTTTTCAAATGTAATTGTACCCAGCATTTGTTTGTCTAGTACCTGCTGGCTCCCTTTAGCCTGTATTCATTTTATGACCTAGACAGGGATTCAGGTAAAGATACAGAATGCAAATCTGCTTACAAGAATCAGAACTGCACTAAGGGATGGGTAACTATCCAGAGGGGGCTATTTCTCTTGAACTTGCTTACCTGAATCATAAAGCAGATTTGCACTGCAGATTCCCAGCTTCTGGGAAGAGCCTGGGCTGCCAACTCTTAGCATCCATTTCTAAAATGTCCAGCAAACTGAAAGAAAAAAGAAAAAGGCAGAGAGATCTTGTGTTAATCGACTCCAGTCTAATGCAGGAGGATTCCGATTTAAAGGAGCCCTAGTCAAGGTGCAAGATGCAAGACCGTATATTATGTCATTGTTTAGCTTGCTTGGCAAGTTTTTAACCCCATGTTAATCTCTCAGTTCACTTGGTGAGATGGGCAGCCATCTAAATCAAATGAATGAATGAATGAATGAATGAATGAATGAATGAATGAATGAATGAATGAATGAATGACTGTAATTTGTTGGAGGTTCGATGCAATCAGTAGCCAGGAGTGAAGCCAAAATGAAATATGAGTAGAGGCTCCAATTCTCTGTCTTGTAGACGTCCATGTTTCTATACCCGTAATTGCCTTTTTCTTTCTGATACCTCCTTTTTCTCTGTCGTTTTTCCTCTCCATCAGTTTTTTTTTTAAATTAGGACCACGAGCTGCATGAGGGTATATACACTGCTACTGGGGATGTAGCAGTGATGTTACTGCAGGGTTATCGACTGTAATTGTGCCAGGTGGTTTTTGAGGCAACCAGGTTCCATCCATTTGGAAAGCATTTTAAACAATAACCTTTTAAACTAAAATAATAATACTCTTGGTGGCCCTAAGCTCACACATTCACAAAACCACATGGGTGCTGGTAGCTCTCGACTGTCGGCCACAATTGAACACAAAATTTCCATTGCTAAGCAAGGCAGTTGTTAAGTGATTTTTTGCCCCATTTATGACCTTTTTGCCACAGTTGTTAAGTGAATCACTGCAATTGGTAAATGAATCTTGAGGTCATTAGAGGAACCTGACGTCCCCCATTGACTTTGCGTGTTGGAAGCTTTCTGGGAAGGTTACAAATGACCCTGGGACAGTGCAACCATCATAAATACATGCCAGTTGCCAAGCATCCGAATTTTGATCATGTGATCACAGTGATCCTGCAATGATCGTAAGTGAGAAAACAGGTCATATGTCACTTTTTCAGTGCCATTGTAACTTTGAGCAGTCGCTAAATAAATGGTGGTAAGTAGAATTGCGAGCATGGTGGAAAGCAGAAACAGCAATGGTGTCTGTAAACTGAGTTTTAGGAAATCTAACCGGCATTGTCTGCTGTTGCTAACAGGAACAGATGTGCTGCCAGCAACTGGGAGAAGGAAATGAGGAAGAGAGATAGTAGCTAGACCAATTGTCCACTTGGGCCAGCATGGTTTGTGGCAAGGATAGGAATGTCCAGCCTATTAATTCTCTAGGCTGAAGCTTGGATCTCTTTGGACAAATTATCTACAGGTAGTGCTTGATTTACAACCATTCATTTCGTGACTATTCAAAGTTACGCCGATGCTGAAAAAAATGACTTATGACCATTTTTCACACTTATAACCATTGCAGATTGCCCATGGACACATGATCAAAATTTGGACACCTGTCAATTGGCATGTATTTATAACAGTTGCAGTGTCCTGGGGTCATGTGATCACCTTTTGTGACCTTCTGACAAGCAAAGTCAATGGGGAGGCCAGATTCACTTAGCAACCATGTTACTAACTTAACAACTGCAGTGATTAATAATAATAATAATAATAATAATAATAACAACAACAACAACAACAACAACAACAATAATAATAATAATAATAATAATAATAATAATAATAATAATAATAATAATAATAAAGTTGGAAGGGACCTTGGAGGTCATCTAGTCCAACCCCCTGCTCAGGCAGGAAACCCTATACCATTTCAGACAAATGGCTGCCCAGTCTCTTCTTAAAAACTTCCAGTGTTGGAGCATTCACCGCTTCTGGAGGCAGGTTGTTCCACTGGTTAATTGTTCTAGCTGTCAGGAACTTTCTCCTTAGTTCTAGGTTGCTTCTCTCCTTCATTAGTTTCCATCTGTTGCTTCTTGTCCTGCCTTCAGGCGCTTTGGAGAATAACTTGACTCCCTCTTCTTTGTGGCAGCCCCTGAGATATTGGAACACTGCCCTCGCCCTTCTCTTCATTAAACTAGACATACCCAATTCCAGCAACCGTTCCTTATATGTTTTAGCCTCCAGTCCCCTGATCATCTTTGTTGCTCTTCTCTGTATTCTTTCTAGAGTCTCAACATCTTTTTTACATCATGGTGACCAAAACTGGATGCAGTATTCCAAGTGTGGCCTTACCAAGGCATTGTAAAGTGGCATTAACACTTCACATTGACAACTGTGGCAAGAAAGGTCGTAAAATGGGACAAAACTCACTTAACAACAGTCTCCCTTAGTAAAGGAAATTTTGGGCTCAGTTGAGATCATAATTTGAGGATTACCTATATTAGCAAGAATTCCTTCAAGGCATTTTTTTAACATTTGAATAAACACAGGTTCTCTGTTCCATGTATTTCAGAAGACACCAGGTTTATAGAGAAGAACGCAACCTAACCATGGGTTCAGTGGTTCAACTCCGACACGAAGCAAGCTGGCTCCAGTTCCACCTGGGGATCAATCGTCATGCCTTGTATCCACGGGCCAGCCCTATGGTTGATCAACTCCTTAGGGACACACAGAAGTTTAGTACTATCAGTGCTGGTAAGTAATGCTGTGAATCTTTCTTAAAGGAAGGCTGGAATAACAGAAATAACAGAATAACCGAGTTAGAAGGGACTTTGGAGGTCTTCTAGTCCAACCCCCTACTCAAGCAGAAGGCCTTATATACCATTCCAGACAAATGGGTGTCCAGTCTCTTCTTAAAAGCTTCCAGTGACGGAGCACACACAATGTCGGAAAGCAAGCTGTTCCACTGGTTAATCGTTTTCATTGCTAGGGAATTTCTAAATTTCACTGTTAGGAAATTTGTTAGGAAATGTTAGATCTGGGATGCAAAATTAATCCAGATGACCACTAGGATGCATGAAGAGTTAGAACCTGTAGAATCAGCCACATGCAGTTCATGTTCTTGTACTTCGTGCCCAAATCACAGGTAGGGCTGCAAACCAATTAAGAATGGTTAATTGCTTGGTGTCCCAATTTGCCTCTCAGTGTTGCATAGGGTCAGAAGATTTCGAGTGTTTTAATTACACGTAAATGTGGTTAAATAAACTTAATTGTCCTGATCCCATTTACAGGGCGGGGCAAGGGAGGCAAATGATGGCACATCTGTCGTGACACAATCACACAAGTCGTGTGCTGTGCACTGATGGTTTCATGATATCACTGACATGAGTTTATGAGTTAAAAATTATTTGTATGATGATGTCATTGGGTACGTGCAATCCTTGTGGCTTCTCCCAGATTTCTGTGCCCCCCACCCACCCATTTGAAGAAGGCTGGCTTAATTAGGACAGTGGCAGTGTCTGTTCTTGTAAAAGAGCAAACACTTCAGCAGTGGGGTTCCTCTGATTTTTATTTCTTTTCAAAAAGCATCAAGCAGCATGAAACACAAAAGGAAACATATAATCAGGAGGAACAGTGTAAGGGAATCTGTTCGAAAGGAAATTGAGAGCGCAGTCAGAAAAAGTGGGAAGAAAGAAAATTTCCTGGAAGGGAAAATTCTGGTTGGGAAACCTTTCTACCCCAACTGTTTTGCATACTCTTTCCCAGTGTAGTACAGGATGTCCACGACCTAGAGCTATTCATTCAGCAATGGTTCAAAGTTACAATGGCGCCAAAAAAAAGTGACTTACAACCAGTCCTCACACTTACGACCACTGCAGAATCTCCACAGTCACATGGTCAAAATTCGTGTGCTTGGCAACTGGCACATATTTGCAATGGCTGCAGCGTCCCAGGGTTATGTAATCGCCATGTGTGACCTTCCCAGCCGACTCCCAACAAAGCAAAGAAAATGGGGGAAGCCAGATTTCTTTAACAACCACACGATATACTTAACAACTGCAGTGATTCCCTTAATAACCATGGCAAAAAGGTTGTAAAAATTGGGCACAACTCACTTGGTAACTGTCTTGCTTAGCAACAGGAATTCGGGTCCCACTTGTAGTCGTAAGTTGAGGACTACCTGTATGTGTGTGGGGCAGTGGTAGAAATTATTGGATACAGTAGAACCCTCTCTGCTGTTTTTTTACTTGCAGTGAAACCTGAATGAATCCCACAGGAAATGTATTTGGGGAATTTGAGAAAAGGCACAATGATGTCGTGGTCCTGATGATATCATTATACAAATAATTTGTAATTCATAAACTCATTCATTCATCCATCCATCCATCCATCCATTCATTCATACAGTATCTATTCTGCCTTTATTATTTTCACAAATAACTCAAGGCAGCAAATATATCCAGCACACGTTCCCTCCTATTTTCCCCACAACAACAATCCTGTGAGGTGAGTTGGGCTGAAAAAGCAGGACTGGCCCCAAGTCACCCAGCCAGCTTTCATGCCTAAAGTGGAACTAGAACTCCCAGCCTCCCATTTTCTAACCTGGTACCTTAACCACTAGATCAAACTAGTTCTCCTGAATTCATATTGGTGATACCATGATTTAATTTTGCTAGCTAGTCCTGTTGGTCCCCTTTGGTTCCCCTTGCCTTGCTGATCCCCCTTCCCACTTGCACAGAAGCTGGCAATCCTGCTGTTAGCAGGACATTCACCTGCCTTCTGTCTTCTGTCTCCCTTCCTTGTAAGAAAACTTCCCAAGGTTTTCTTTTTCATTCCAGATTACAGCCAGGATGAGAAAGCCTTGCTCGGGGCCTGCGACTGCTCCCAAAGTAGGTGAACTGCTATTCTATCTGCTGCCGCTTTCGACCAATGTGTCACAGGAGTCCTTTTGGCGGTGGTGGTGGGGGGGCGATGGAGTTCTGTTAATGAGATGTATGAGCCAAGTCCTTAGTGCTACCCTTGGGCTTTATTTAGGGCTCTGTTTCACCCAGCCCTGAATGTTTAAAGGCAACTCTAGCGCCATGGTGTAATTTCCCTTTGGAGTTGCTCGGCTATTAAAAGGCTTGCTATGCATTTGTTGAACCGGTATCAGTATCTCTTCCTGACCTTGAACTGGATCCAAAGGGGCACCAGGATCTGAGAGAAATCTACTGGGAGGAAGGGAGGAAGGAAGGACATTCCTGATCTCCTCCTGGAGGAGATACAAACCTTCTCGTCCTCCTCTCAGACTTCCCTCCCCACTGAAGCAGTCTGTCAAGAAGTTGAAAGATGACAGGCAGAAAGAGGGATTAAGAAAATGGCTTTGTCTCTTCCGTGCTCCGGCAGAAATGTTACAGCCTGCTAAATTGACCCAGCTCACTTTGAACCCTGCATTTTCCAGCTGGATCGATGAAGGTGAATCCTGGATTCCTTTTGCCTGTACCTTGTACAGGTAGTTCTCGCCTTACAATCATCCATTTAGTGACCGTTCAAAAATTACAGTGGCACTGAAAAAAAGTGACTTATGATCACTGCAGCGTCCCTGTGGTCATATGATTAAAATTTGGACAACTGGCTCATGTGTATGACAATTGCAGTGTCCCGGGGTCATGTGATCATTTTTCACGACCTTGTGACTAGCAAAGTCGATGGGAAGGGCAGGTTCATTTAACAACCATGTTACTAACTTAACAACTGCAGTGATTCATTTAACAACTGTGGCAAGAAAGGTCGAGAAATGGGGCAAAAGTCAATAAATGTCTTGCTTAGCAACTTACATTTTGGACTCTGTTGTGGTCCTATGTCGAGGACTACCTGTGCATGGGTATAAATCAATCATTTCTATTGGACTAAAAGCACCCCACAGCTTTTAGGTGTTTAAAATGCATGATTTTATATCAATAGAAGCACATCCAGGCAAGAAACCTCTTCAAAAAAGGAGTTAGATCACAAAACCCCGAAAGTAATAGCTCTCTCAGGTCAAGGTCAAATCCTGGGAATCCCCATGAATCCCCCTTGGCAATAGTGTGGAAGTGATACTCAGGGCCTCCTTCCAGATTGTTTTTGACTAGCCAGCAACTTGGGGATTTCCTTAGGTCTCCTACTGATTTCCAGACAAGGTCTGACTCTGCTTAGCTCTTTTTTTTTTTTTTAAGATCAGCCAGCTTTAAAAAAGAGGGATTTGCAAGATAAAATATACCACACACAGGCACAACCCGCTCTGCTAGTTTCATTCTCTTCCCATTCTTCTTTGGGGTAGCTTTAATAGATGGACTCTCCGGATTAGGATCACCATTTAAAATGGGAAAATTGGAGGTCTGGCCAAGGAGTGTTATTGTGATCTTGTTCTTCCTCCAAGAGGTCTAGGAGGATAACCATGTGAGGCAGATTTACAAATCGCCATATTTCGAGGTCATCCATAGAGTTAGTAAATATGGATTTGGGCTCTACCCTTACCAATTCTCACATCTCCACAAATCTCTCAGTTTTACTCTAGATATCAAACAGAATGGAAGAAGAATTATTTACCTCCTTCCCTTCATTTCCCAGAGCTATACAGGTAGTCCTCAACTTACAACATTTCATTTAGTGACCATTCAAAGTTACAATGGCACTCAAAAAAAGTGACTTATGACCGTATTTCACCCTTACAACCATTGTAGCATCCCCATGGCCACGTGATCAAAATTTGGATGCTTATCAACTGGCATGTATTTATGAGGGTTGCAGTATCCCGGGGTCATGTGATCACCTTTTGCAATCTTCTGACAAGCAAAATCAAGGGGGAAGCCGGATTCACTTAACAACCATGTTACTAACTTAACAACTGCAGTGATTCATTGACAACTGTGGCAAGAAAAGTTGTAAAAGGGGGGAAAACTAACTTAGCAATTGTCTCACTTAGTAACAGAAATTTTGCACTCAGTAGTGGCCATAGGTCAAGGACTACCTGTAAACAAAGCAGAAAAAGTATAACTTAGTACAGATCAGTAAATAAAAATGAAGAAATATTATATTGGACATTTTCAGGGAATTCTCAGAGTTGTAGGTTTGAGACAGGTGCTCCTTAATAAGTTAGACCAGGGGTAGGCAACCTTGGCTCTTTTATGACTTGTGGACTTCAACTCCCAGAATTCCTGAGCCAGCCATGCTGAGGGGAAATGGAGAGGTTTCCATGCTGAGCCATGCTGGCTCAGGAATTCTGGGAGTTGAAGTCCACGTATCATAAAAAAGCCAAGGTTGCCTAACCCTGAGTTAGACCACTATTTTAAGTTAGTGTAGCTTATTACTCAACATAGTAAATGGCTTCCAACATATAGAAGCGAACTAGATACTGATCTTCATATACCACATCCTTTAAGGTGTTAGAAGCTCATTTCAATTCTTTCTTAAGACAGATATTATGTTTTTCTGTCAAATTACTAAGCAAAAGCTTTGGGTTTTGACATTTGAACAAAGAGCTGAATCTCTCTTTGTTTCTCAGTTGTAAAGCCCAGCGGGGTGCACCTGAAACTTGTTTTGCGGTTCCAAGACTTTGGGAAAGCCATGTTCAAACCAATGAGGTAAGCTTGCTTCACTTGAAAATGTCCAGAATCCTTTTCACTAAAGCGTTTTTAGCAAAGCTATCAATGTTGTTGTGCAGATAAGGAGGAGAAGGAGCAGGCATTCGAATTATGTTCTTTTCTGCATGTCCATAAATTGTGCTGCTGATTTCCAGCAATTCTATGGAAAGAAAGAGGGATTGGAAACTACATCCTATACAATCACACTTGGTTCCTCCCAGCCTCAGGGAAAAGCTAACGTTGGGCAAAGATTTTGAAGAGAATTCAAAATGAGTATGTAAGAAGATACATAGAAGTTGCTGGCTGACTAACTGCCAACTAGGTGTGACCATTTACATCCTTTAAAAAATATAGAAAGAAAGAATGAAGAGCAGATGAGGGATGAGGCAGTTCAGACCAGTGCAACGTAGCAAAAGAGGGAGTTATTCTGACTCTTTGCTCTGTTGTCCTGACTCTAGCTGGGAACTGATCCAGTGGTGGGATTCAAATATGTGAACAACCGTTTCTCTGTGTGGATGCTGCTTCCAGAAGTCCATTTTGGGCCTGGGCAACAAAAAAAATAGCTACCGGTTTTGCCGAAGTGGTGCAAACTGGCTGAATCCCACCACTGAGCTGATCCCTTTTGACCTGAATAACAACTTTTCTCCTCAACTAGACAAATGGACCAATCTGAGAAGGCAACAGAAGAAACATAGCATAAGGGTGGGCAACTATGGCAATTTTACAACCTGTGGACATCAACTCCCAGATTTGACAGGTTGTCAAGTTGCCTAGTTGCCCAGCCCCTGTCATAGTTGGACCCCAATTTCATACCATGGCTATTTAGTCTTTTCAGTTATTATTAAACATATTGGTGGTGCTGGTTAGTTTGAGCATAAGACCAGGTCCAGAACCAAAAAGATCTGAGCCGCTGAAAAGCAAAAAGAGAAGAAAGGAATCCTTCTTTCTTTCTAGCTACTGTCAAATACTTTTCTTAGACTCAGAAAGATATTTTGTTTTATACACAATCTCCTTCCTGTTAATTACCTGGACATTTTCTTCAGACAGAACCGAGACGAAGAGACTCCAGAAGATTTTTTTTACTTTGTTGACTTTCAGAGACACAATGCAGAGATCGCTGCCTTCCACTTAGACAGGTAATTCCCAAGTGATAATTACCTCCTGAGTTATTTGTCTAGAAAAGAGCTTTACTGCAGCTTCAGAGGGGCGAGGCAAAAGGCACAGGAGACAAAACTGTGTGAGCAATGAGGGTAGGTATCAGCCTTTACTCATAGGCCACAAATTTTAAAGCCATTTGCGTCATGGAATGAATGTTCTGCTCTTCCCTTTTGGCCATTAAAAACTTTAAGCTTCATCAGCATAAGTACTGGTGGGGGGGGGGGAAATCACATTATTGGGAAGAACTGTCATTCGGGACAGAAATTGTACTCTGTATACAGTCCTTGACCCACAACCATAGATGAGCCCGGAATTATTGTCATAATTCATGCTGGTTATTATGTGGGTCTCCATGTGACTCTGCCTGATTTTACAAGCTTCTTGCTGCTGTCGTTAAATGAATACAGCATCCATAAAGCAAACACTTACATTTGTTAAGCGAATCCATTGTCCTCAATGGGCAGTTTTTGCAGAAATTGGAAGTGAACACCAGTTTCCAACAAAAAAAATGTTGTACATTATGGTCACATGACTGCAGGATGCTGTAAACAGCCATAAATGCAGTCTGGTTATTGAATGCTGAAAATGTGATCATGTGACCCCACGAGAGGAACAGCCAGGGCCATTGGAACTTTGAATAAGAGTCATAAGTAGCCTTGGGGAGGTCCACCATAACGTCAAATAGTGGCTAAGCAGCCGGTCATAAGTTGAGAACTACCTGGAAAGGATTCCCAGGCTTAATTTCCTCTCGTTCCAGATAGAATTTGTCTAAAACCTTCAAGAACCAATGCTGATTAGTCTAGATCAGGGGTAGGCAACCTTGGCTCTTTTCTGACTCGTGGACTTCAACTCCCAGAATGCCTGAGCCATGCTGGCTCAGGAATTCTGGGAGTTGAAGTCCACGGGTCATAAAAGAGCCAAGGTTGCCTATCCCTGGGATCATTGGTGACAAATCTGTGGCCCTCCAAGTTGTTATACTTCCCAACATTCCTCATCTTTAGCCAAGCAGCTGGGGCTCTGGAAGTCGTAGTTCATCCATATTGGGGATCTGCTGACTCCTGCTGCTGATATAACTACATTCTCCTAGTAAATAATGATGTCTTCCCTGGACAGCGGAGTGAAAAAATAAGCAGGGAATATAGTAGTTTCCTCATCATTTTGTGCTCAGCATGATTTGATGATTGATTTGTGTTCTCTGGCCATCTTTAGGTGCATAAAAGAACCTGTGGGATGAGGAAAATTGTGCTGGCCTATGATCTAAGCATGGGGCTGTGATAGAAAGGAAAATACAATTTCCCGTTAGTTTTAGACTACATCTCTTTCTTCTAATGCATTGTGCATTAGATAGTTTCCATAGACATTTGTTTTATCTTTATTTTCACTGATTTTATTCTAACTTCTTTGATTGTTGTGAACTGCCCATAGTCATTCAGCATGCAAATTTACTAGGTATTTATTTAATAAATTACTATTAGTTATTTGAAAGGTCATTTCTTGCTTCAGATCGTTCTAACTTTCTAGAATAATAGGCTATATCATACTTTCTGCAAGCAGCTTTCCTGCTATTTCTCCTCCATATCTACCCTAGTTTAGAAGGAACCTGTTCCATTAACAGTTCCCACTCCACTAGTGGATGAACAGTCACCAGACAGCACCCACTGCATGTTCATAGTTCACATATTACAAATGAAATGTAACGAAGAAGAGGGAGAAGAAATTTGATATTCTCTCAAGCTGCCTAAGTCTTATTTATTTGTTTATCAAATTTAGAAATCTGTCCATCCATCCATCCATCCATTCATCCATCCACCTATCCATCTATTTATCAAATTTAGAAACTGCCCATCTCCTTCACAGAGGGACTCTGGGGAATGTACAAGTAAAATATAAAAGCATAAAAACTGTACATAAAATTATATAAAGGGCAAAGAAAGTTAAAATTCAGAATTAAAAGGTGGGGAAGAGAGCTTTCAGGGTGCTGAAAGGCTGCACGCTCTTCTGTGAGGCCCAGGCAAGATGGCAAAACCAGGTCTTTAGACATTTCCAAAAGGGCAGGAAAGTGAGATGTTTGTTTGTTTGTTTGTTTATCCATCCAATTCTTGATAACTCTTCCACCAGTTTCCCACCAAGCTGCTTGTATTATATTAGCCTGTCATTCGGAGCACTCTTAAACTTCCCTTTTTTTTTGCTTGTGATGATCTGGCAGGTCTAGCGGTAGATCATGCTTGGATTGATGCATTAGGACTCCTGATCAAGCTCCAAGTCTATGCTTTATTTGTGTTTTTATTCTGCAAACAGCAGGCTGAAAAAGCCAATTCTTGGGGGCATTTTAAGAAGCTTCTGTGCCATTATTAGTCATCTGCTTGGCAGTTACTGACTCACTAACCAAATTGCTGACAAAAAAACCCCAAAACACTAGACCCCATAGCATCCTTTGCAAGCTGTATGGCATTAATCAGCACAGACAGTAGAAATATCTCCCACATTTCAGCATTTACAAGTTGGGGCAGTATTCTTGCTGGCATCTAACGTTTCACTTGAGCCATCCATCAAATGTCTTAATGAATTGTTTAAGTGCTGGGAAAAACAAAGCCGCCACCGCCGAATGCAAGGGTTGTGGAGGATCGTAATAAACTCTCCCTGTGTAATTAAAGCTATTACAGGATAAGGAAGTGAGGGCTTGCTTAGATCCAGGTAACTGTTGTTAAATATTAGTAGCAGCTACTGATAAAGGAGAATATTTGTGGCTCAGGGTTGAAATGAGGGGAGCTTGGTGCTCTCTGAGCTCCGTTGTTTTCTTGCAGATATTTCATCACCCAGTGCTAGCATTAATGGGGTTACCTAGTTTGGGTAATGAAAAGTCTGCAAGAAAACAAGCTCAGAGAGCATCAAGGTCCTCTCATTAGTAGTAGCTACCAGTGTTAACACTCTTATGGCATACGACATAAAACCCTCTTTGTTTGAGCTATGAATATTGTATCATACTATTTTTTTCTTTGGGTAATTTGTATAAATCCAGACCTTTTAGATAACTTACTTAATTTGTGATTCTAATGCAAAGGAGGACAAAATGGTCCAGCATGAAGAGAAGTATTACGTTTCAGAGGATATAATTTTATTTATTCTATTTATTTATTACATTTTTATGCTGCCTATCCCCCCCCCCCTTCCCATATGGTGACTATAATAGGTTAGAATAGCTGCTCTTGGTGAAATGTCTCCATCTGGGCTATTATTAAAGATCAAAATGTTTTAATTCTCAGTCCAGTCAAGATACATTCCTGGAAATCCTTGTGACAGAAGAAATTGTCTTATGATGAATCAGAGCAGTGGTGTATCCAGCTTAGCTTTTCCCAGTGTATTCTGCAAATGTATGGGAACTATAATTCTTAGAATATTCAGAATGTCTGAAATTTCTGAGTTGCATTCTTAGAGTATTATACCAATAAAATGGTGTTTATCAAGTAGTGCTGGCTGAGGAATTCTGGGAGTTGAAGTTCAGACACCTTAAAATGGCCAGGGTTAAGAAACACTGCAGCAGGGTATCAAACGGGGAGAAAGTTAAGTTCAATTTGGCTCATTGGCCTTCTCCAGCCTGGTACTTCAGTGCTCACCATTCTTGTGATGAGAACAACTCTAAGATTTCCCCCTTCCCTGGGATTAAAACATGGCTCATTTGCCTATAGTACATGAGTTTCTTCACTGACCTACCATGGAAACCTCATATTGGGAAACATGTAACTAAGTTACTACTGCAACACCCCATCCTTGCTTGCAGAAATGTGTCAACATCCAACATTAGAAAATGAAGGGCCCACATTGAACCCACAAGTCCTACATTCTGATCAAGATACAAAAGATACTATATTTTCAGCCTTCTGTATAGTTATGCATTTGACTTCACCCTACCCTCTTTTTGTTTTCGTTAGGACTACTTATTTGCTCTGAATTTTCCTGAAACTAAAAATTACTTACATATGTATCAAGAGAAAATAATTGCCGTTTTCTAGTTTGCTAGGAATCTGACAGAAGCCCGATCGAGGAAATTAAATGGGCACAGTCATCTCCATCCTGTTAGAGAACTTTCCTGTCCAATTTGCAAGTTCTTTCTTTGAATACTTGCAGAAAATTTAATCCAGCCCAAACTTAACTGTAAGCTAACAGCCCTGGCCATCCTATTCTTTATTCTCAGCTGGCAGTCAATATTCTGAATAATTCTATAGATTTTTTCTGTGGAGACAGTCAACCTTCAAAGGATGTTGTGAGAACATGGAAAGTAAACTTTCTCCATATAGGAAGTTGCTATGATTTATACCATCACAATGGCAGATTAACAAAAATATTATGCTAAAGTTTACAAAATCTAACAGATAGACCAGATTCAGTTTAACAAAAAGGAGATTTGCATTGGTGTGAGCAATACATTTTGCCCTTTGCAGAATTCTGGATTTCCGTCGTGTCCCTCCAGCAGCTGGGAGAATGATTAACGTCACAAAAGAAATTTTAGAAATGACAAAGAATGAAATCTTACAAAGTGTCTTTTTTATTTCCCCAGGTAAGTTTTTTTCATAGATTTATATTCAGTCTTTCTACTTCAAGGAGTACTCAAGATGGCTAGCAACATTTTTTAAAAAATAAGACCATTATAAACAGTTGAAAACATGAAATAAATTAAATTAAGAACTATAATCAGTTTGCATTAAAATTCCTGGTGAAAGAGATAAGATAGATAGATAGATAGATAGATAGATAGATAGATAGATAGATAGATAGATAGATAGATAGATAGCCTTTATTGTCATTTTTTTTTACTGTGGGCACAATGGCACACATTAAAAATGAAATTTAGTTGCTTGCTCTCAAAGTGTACACATACATAACACACATTTAAACATACTAAATACAACAGATGTATAGACCTACACCCTTACATATAAGTACCATATAAATATTAATCACTGTCCATCTTGAACACATAACAGAAGGAGGAAGCTTTACAGTTCACAAGGTAATACTGTATGGAACAAAACTGTGACTGAATCTGGATGTTCTGTTTCGGAAACCACGGAGCCTCCTCCCAGAAGGTAACAAGAAAAACAGGTCGTGAAGAGGATGTGTAGTGTCCCAGACAATCTTACGGACCCTGCTCAAGCAACGCTTATATGCTATGTCCTGGATGGAAGGGAGGGAACTGCCAATGATCTTTTCAGCCATCCTCACCACTCTCTGCAGCACCTTCCTGTCTGAAGCAGTGATGCTTCCAAACCAGACTATGATGCTGTAGCATCTTCACAGGTTTTCTGAAGTATAAAGATATACATGGGGCCATATGGTATAGTAGTAAGTATGAGCGGTACCTAGGTGTCCTACTTAACTATGAGCCACCAGCGTGCTGTAGCAGCCAAAAAAGCCAATGTAGTCCTAGGCTGCATCAAAAGAGAGAACTGATCAAGATCACAAGAAGTGATAGTACCACTTTATACTGCACTAATGAAGCCATACTTGGAATACTGTGTCCAGTTCTGGTTACCACAATATAAAAAAGATGGTGGGACCCTAGAAAGAGTGCAGAGAAGAACAACAAAGTTGATGAGGACTCTGGAAGCTAAACTCGTGAACTGTTAAAGGAAACTAGGTATATCTAGCCTAAAGAAGAGAAGGATTAGGGCTGACATGATATCTGTCTTCCAGTACATGAGGTATTGTCACAAAAAAGGGATTGACTTATTCTCCAAAAACACCTGAAGGTAGAACAAGAAGCAATGGGTGGAAGCTCATTAAAGAGAGTTCCAACCTAGAAATAAGGATAAATTTCCTGACAGTAAGAACAATTAATCAATGGAATGACTTGGCTCCTGAAATTGTGGGTGCTCCATAAATAGAGGTTTTCAAGAAGAGACTGGACAACCATTTGTCTGGAGTGTTATAAGGTCTCCTGTTTGAGTAAAGGGTTGGACTAGAAGACCTCCACAGTCCCTTCCAACTCTATGATTCTAAGATACATTTCATATTCTGGAAATTGTACAGAAGAAGACCTGCTCCAATATTCTAGGAGGATGAATCTGGGGCAGTGGGGGTATCTTTCAAAGTTTCCTTAAATAGTCATGCCATAAGCTATTTATGACTTGAAAGCACAATGGCAGCATCTTAAATTGAGATGTTCAAATTAGATCACCTTTCCACCTCCTCAAATAAGAAACACATTTCTGTACCCCACCTCGCATGAATAAAACCAATTATTCTATTGGAGATGGACAAGAATAAATGTTTCAACTGCTAAAGAGGTATCATTTTCAACACTCTCATGACTGAGAACTACTTTTTTCCAGCACTACTGGTGAATTGGTCCTCTTGCCACACAACAATCTAAGAATTTAAAATAATAGATACAAATACTTAACTTCGCTGTAGCAGCATGCATATTTTGACAGTCATTCTAAAAGTTGTTGACAAGCTAGTACAGGCCAAGCCAGAGGTCACCAGCTGTTATGATTGTGAGGTGTTTTGACAGATGGCTATATCCATAAGATTCTTGCAAAATTTGCTCCAGGCTTTGTTTTCCACTTTGTATGACCAAGATTGCTCTAGGTTTAACCAGGCAAAATGGGAGCAACTTTGTCAGTATTCCCGCTTTACTAGAATAAACCTGACCAGCTTAAATTTAGTTGGGAAACCTGAACTAACTAACCAAATGAGCAAATGCAATAAAATTGAGATATTCTTCTCCAGGTGTAAGTATCCACAGATACCCTGCATGTTTATATACAACCTGTGTGCCCAGAAAATCTGTCACATTGGAAAGACTCTCGTATTTAGCTATCAGGGAGATCAAATGTTAGTCATATCATACTTCCCAGCTAAATCTCTGAACACTGTTTAGACATCATAATTGTACTAAACAGTAATATATAGCCCTCTCATCACACAAGGTGACTAACAAAAAACAAATATTCAAAATAATTAAAAACAAAAGCATTAAACATGCAATTAAAATAGTTAAAAACTGAAATAAAAATACCTATAAACCTTAAACACAATGCAACTATTTCACAGACATTACAGCCCTATGACAAAACCAAGTTTTATTACTACATTATGCAACATTGAAGGACCATCTTTTCCCAATCATATCTACTCAACCCACCATGACAGAGAGGCAGGGACTGCTATGATTCTACTCTCCTAAGGAGGTCAGTCTACTACTGGAAGGGCCTTCTCTGTGGTGGCTCCCTCTCTGTGGAACATTATCCCTGCAGAGATAAGATGGGCCCTCACTTTGACAATGGTCAAAAAGTCCTGAAGACATGGTACTGCCAACAGACCTGCCAACAGAGTGATACAGAATCCATCAAGTCACTGGTTTGATTGTTGTTACCAGATGAGTGGAGGCTTACTGGTTTTTGTACTGGTGTTTTGTAATCTGCCTGGGGTCACCATAAATTAGGCAGCCATATAAATTTTCTTAATAAATAAATAAACTTATGGGCATCAGGTGTCATTATGCAATCACACCATTTGTGTAATGACTTCATGATGAGCATGTCTTCATTCTAATGTTCTTATGGCTTGTTATGGACAACCTCTGTCCCTGTGTCAGTCTTGAGTCTCATACAGCTTTCTCTCTTTATAGCCAGCAATGTCTGCTTCTTTGCGAAGTGCCCTTACATGTGCAAAACAGAATACGCCGTCTGTGGGAACCCTCACCTGTTGGAAGGTTCCCTCTCGGTTTTCCTGCCTTCTCTCAACTTGGCACCACGAATCTCCATCCCTAATCCGTGGATCCGATCTTATAGCTTTGCAGGAAAAGAGGAGTAAGTGGGTAAATGGACCTCTCTTTTTGCTTACTGCTCAGACAAAGGCTATGCTTTCAAAAACATGCTATGCTACGTTTATTGAGCAGGACAGCTTCAGAAAGGCCCTTGGTCCTTCTGTTTGTGCAGAAGAGAAACAAGGATGTAATCCTAGACACAGTTACTGGAGGGTAAGTCTCATTTAATTCCCTGGGCTTAGCTCGCACCTCGATTTTGCATTCCTAATCCTGGCCCATCCAGAAGCAACCAAATGCATTTGGACCAAAAGTCCTAACCACCATAGCCAAGCTAGTAATAAATGCTGTTTCTATTTTCTATTGTAAAATAACAACTTCCAGGAAGTCCAACAAGAGCTTATATACGAAGAGGTGTGTGGGCATACCTGTGGGAAGAGTGAAAAATTTAAAAAAAAAAAATTCTCTTAACTAACCCAGTCTGGATAAATATTGCTTCTGAAGCTATTATTTCCATACCTAGCCAACAGAAGCTCTTTGGGTGGTTTGAGGCCTTTGAGTTGCTGCAGTGGAATAAGAAAGAAAAAAAAAAAACCACCTCTCATGTGCATTATCTTAAGTTCATTGAGGAAAATTAAGATATAAATATGAAAAATCAAAAACATTAAACGTAGGCTTACCTTGAAATATAAATACAACTGTGGAGGGCCCATTATTACCATGATTGTGTTAAGGAGAGGGAAAATGAATGAAACTTCTTTTCCCAACAGTGTTGAGAGTGCTCAAGTTTCTCTACAGAAGTTTCTTTAGATGTTTTAGAAACCTTGACAGTTTTGAAGATCCTTGCCTATTACCTGCATTCACTTTTTGCCCTGGACTCAGGGGTTCACATGGCAGGCTAGACCCCAAACCTTTAATTTTATTTTACAGTCCAGTGTTGCACCACCGCCTTTTCCCTCTGTTTTCAAGAAAGACAGCAGATGGAGAGAGTGCTGATGCCAGCAGCAACTCTCTTCTGTTTGATTTTTCACCCAGGTGGGAAGTAAATCCTCTCTACTGCAATACCATGAAGGAGATTTATCCTTACAGCAGTGGCAGCCGGCTACTCAATATCATTGACATGGCCATATTTGACTTCTTAATAGGTAAGTAAGAAGAGGGAGGGATTGTGATCCTCATGGATCTGATGTGTTCTGTCCAAGAGTGGAAACTTTTCCACGGGGCATGAAATACAGCTGGCTTAGAACATGCTGATAAATTCAAAACTTTCCAGGTTTTCTGAGCTGAATTCTCTGATTTCAATATGGAGAGCGGAGGGGGTTAGCTAAAATCCTTATCCTATATATCCAAGATCACTGCCACTGTGACTGCAGTCATGAAATCAAAAGATGCTTGCTCCTTGGCAAACTATGACTATGGCAAGCACATCAAAAAGCAGAGACATCACCTTGCCAACAAAGTTCCATATAGTCAAAGCCATAGTTTTCCCAGTAGTAATATATATGGCTGTGAGAGTTGGACCATAAGGAAGGCTGAGCACTGAAAAATTGATGCTTTCAAATTGTAGTGTTGGAGAAGGCTCTTGAGAGTCCCTTGGACCGCAAGGAGATCCAGTCAGTCAATCCTAAAGAAAATCAACCCTAGTTGTTCTTTGGAAGGACAGATGCTGAAGCTCAAATACTTTGGCCACCTAACAAGAAGCGAGGATTTATTGGAAAAGGTCCTGATGTTGGGAAAGATTGAAGGCAAAAGGAGAAGGGGATGGCAGAGGATGAGATGGTTGGATGATGCAATGAACATGAATTTGGACAAACTCCAGGAGACAGTGGAGGACAGAGAAGCCTGATGTGCTGTGGTCCATGGGGTCACAAAGAGTCGGACATGACTTAGTGACTGAACAACAACAACAATATATCAACAATCCAGAGGAAAGCAATACTTTGGGGGTTTTTTTAATGTTTTCTCCAAGAGCAAAAGTTGGTTCATTGCACAATTAGTTCTATTTTATCCTCACAACATTCTCATTGAAAAACAATGACTGCCCCAGATCATCCAGGAGCTTCTTGGCTTAGTCCATCATTTTAGCATTCAAACTCTCCATTTGTGCTTGGCTTTTTGTTTTTATTTTTCATCTGCAATGGCCAAATTACATCAGATAGAAACATAGCAAAAGCAAATATTAAAACTGTAGTCTCTCTCTCCTCAGATCCCAGCCCAGATGTACTGATTCTTATGCTTTTTCTGTGCTTTGAATATTATATAGTCATACAAAAGGAAAAAAGCTACCCATTCATTCATTCATCCATTCCAGTTTAGATACTGCCAGTTTAAAAAATGACAATGGCAGTTTAAAAAATGCCAGATGCATTGTGGCATGAGATTTTGTCTACTCCTAGTCCATTCCAATGGATTAACTTCACAGTGATGTTGATGTGCTGAATTGTTTACGCTCGCTTTGTCTCCATGTTAACAACTCACACACATAGGCACATGCCAGAACAAGCCTTCTAAATGTTTTGCTTCCCATCGTGTATTCTTCCAGAATTTGGCAGCAGGCAGCAAACATGTTTTATAATGTGTAGCAATGTCTCCAGCCAATTGTTTGGAATTTTGAGACATTACTGTGAACTCCCTTGGAAAATGGTTGCCATTCCTTCAGAAGGCAAATGGGTAACGTTGCTTCTCATCACTGCTTTTACCTCCCAAGATGCCTTCTAGCCCCCAAATTTTTTTTGGGGGGTACCTTTTTCTCCCTAGACAATTGGATACACATATACTAACAAAGCATTGAATTATTGAATATAATAGGACTTTTTTGCATTGATGCAGGACTTAGTGTATGTCTCAGGAAATACCTTAATTTTTAAATCAAAAGAATGTAAAAGCAATGACCAGGGGAGTGTGGGAAGACCCATGCTATATATCTCAAATTTGCACTACTTAGGAAAAGCAGTCCAGCTGTGCTCCCCTCTACTGGGCAAAAGGATATTGCACACTTTTACCAGACTTTCAAATGTCAAAGTCTTGGCCTCTTTGGGAAACCACATATCTTACCTCCGCTGAGCTTCAGCCAGAGGAAGGAATAATTAAATAGTTGAAAAGCCTGGAGTCCTAATATAGAATCCGGAGTGTACATGCCTTGAAGATTAATAACCTTTCCTGTTAATGGTGGTTTCTAGCTGGGTTGCAGCATAGCAGTAAAGCCTAATTGACCACAACATGCAACATTAACAGAACTACAGAACAAATGAGGCTGCAATTTTGTGTGTACACACTGACCTGGCTGTAAATCTAAAGTAACTCAAGAGGGTTTCCTCTGAACAGGCAATCATGAAATTATACTGACAGTCATGCTAGTTTCTGGGAGAAAATAGTGACATTTCATGCATTAATACGTGTGTATAACCAGGAACTCAAATTGAGTCCAGTTTTTAAACCCCATCCAAAGAATTCCAGATGTTCACTTGAGCACAGCTGCAAGCTGAGCTAAGAAGGCCCCACAGGCCATAAGGAAAGCATAATAAAGTAAACCAATCCATGTTAAGGAAACCAGTTCTGCATCTGCATCCTGAATTGTCAGCCTACATGACCCCAAAGCTCTCTGTAAGCTCTTTTAAGTTGCTGGTCCTCTCACATTAAAAGGGTTTGATATCTCTCATCAGCAGTTCTTAATCTATGGATCCAGGCTGATTTCTGTATTTAAATATTGGAAGTGGGTCTGCATGCGTTTGTTTTCCATGCTCTTCCTTTTTGTCTTCTGAAAGGTAACATGGACCGCCATCATTACGAGATGTTTACAAAGTTTGGAGATGAGGGTTTTTTGCTTCATTTGGATAACGCCAGAGGGTAAGGCAACTACTACCCATTATCAGCATTCTCCCCACCTAAGCACTGGCCTTGACAATTTCCAGATAGAACTGGACTTCAGTTACACAGATTGCAAAAATATAATCAGACATAACTTATTGGTTTAGAGCAGGGGTAGGCAACCTTGGCTCTTTTATGACTCGTGGACTTCAACTCCCAGAATTCCTGAGCCAGCTAAGCTGGCTCAGGAATTCTGGGAATTGAAGTCCACAAATCATAAAAGAGCCAAGGTTGACTACCCCTGGTTTAGAGCAATACTGCATGATAAAATCCCAAGTTAAACTAAAACAGGGCTCCTATCTGCTTAGGAGTTGATAGCCCTGTTTCCTTCCCACTTTTTTCCTCCACACTTTCTTTGAAGGGAGGAGACCAAGAAACTGCCTTAAACTGACCTACTTCATGACAAGCGGTAATTGGCCAGGTTCATCTGCAGCAGAAATAAATTAGCTACATTCAGGCTGCTTATAGCGCAATTGATGTTCCTTTGCACTATGCCAGAATGTTTGATCCTCTTGTCCTGGAATGTTGATAACGACCAGTCTTGCATCTCCAGGGAATTTGGCAGAAGCTTCTCCGGATGTCCCTGAAGAGGCCAGGAATTGATTTGTAGCCAGCTGCATATCAAACCTGTAGGTTGCCTTTTGGCCTTCCTGAAATTGATACCTTCTACATGTGTGGAAGGGCAACTCCATCGAACTTGTTTACTGGCTAGTATTTACTTCAGTTATTGGGTTTGGAAGGGTGAATTTACAACTCTGAATCTGACAAAAATATGGTTGGGTCTGTATGATCAGTAAATTAATCCTTGAGGGGGAGGGTGGTTCTGCTTGCCTTGAAGGAGGTCCTGGTGTCCCTGTTCTTCAAGAAGGCATTGCTGACGTGGACAATTTTCATAGTCTCCCAAGCTCCCTGATTTAGAGGATATTGTTGAGAAGATGGTCAGGTTGTACCTTTAGAGGGTTGAAGGAGGAAATGAATTATCTGGACTTCTTCAACTGAATTTCAGGACAGGACGCACTACAGACATTGCATTAATTGTCTTTGATGATGATCTCTGGCAGAACCAGGATAGTGGTGCTGCTGGTCCTTGTTTTCCGCAATCTCTCAATGACTTTCAATATCATGAAGTATCCTTCTGAACTGACAACAGGGCTAAGAGTGAAAGGTTCAGTATTGTGTTAGTTCTTTTTTCTCCATGGCCAGTTTCAGTCAGCTTTGATGGGGGAAGAGGCCAAGCTTAAATTTCCTGAACTGTAGGGCTCAAAGTTGTTGACTCTCATGTTTAATGTCTACATGACGCCACAGGATGAAGTCACTCATTGACACAGAGGCAGATATCATCAGTTTGGTGATATTTAGTAGATACTCACCATGTGATGCTGTCAAGATCATATCTCATTGCCTGATGACTATTAGAGTCTGAATGGGAAGCCTCAGGCTCCATCCATTCAGAGACTTTGTGGGTATAGAAACCTCCTGATACCAAGATGCAAAGTACCTAGACTATATCTCCTGTTCATCCTGGGTTTGGGATGTACAACTATCATTTCAGTATTAATGATACCTGAACCTATGCAAACAGATGGCCCCTCCCAACAGTGTCATGTAGATGCTGAACAGTGTGGATGCTGAACAATGCTGAATTATGGCTCCTGCTGGGGGACCTGTGGACTTTAGATATTGCTGAATCACAATTACTAACAGCCCTAGCTAGTGTGCCAAATATGAGATAAGGCAAATTATATTCCATCTTTTCATGGATCTCATACATGTGCCCTAGTCTTTCTAAGCAGGATAGGACTAAATGAGACACATGCTGACTTGATATTACCTGAGCTTTTCAGCTATTAATGGAAATCAATGCACCTGACACGAGCATTCCAATAATCTGCAATCTGTATTGGTTTTAAGCTGCTTAGGTCTTTCTGGGGAACCTGAGAAACTATTAATTGTAACCCAGAGCACTAAAGATATTTATTAAGAAATTCTGAGCATATATAGTGAAGTACTGTTCACAAGATCTTGGAAAGAAGCCAAGGAAGCTCTGGTGTGTGTGTGTGTGTGTGTGTGTGTGTGTGTGAGAGAGAGAGAGAGAGAGAGAGAGAGAGAGAGAGAGAGAGAGAGAGAGAGAACAAGAACACTTTATCAGAAGAATAAAATTCAGGAATGGTAGTCAATCAGTGCTGAAATAGGGACTTGATCCAATTCAAAGGATGTAGTTTGCAACTGATTTTAAACCAGTTCATACGGATACAGTCGCGTATTTCCAATCAGTTATGTAATTTCTTAGTTGCAGGATTTCAGAGCAGAAATATCACATATGAATATCAGTGCAGCGTAGGAAATTCTCTCTCTTAGAGCAGGACAGGCAATGGCTGGTTCTGTAGTTGTTGCAAGATTGCCACTCTCAACATCCGCAGTCCCTGGGGTTGGGATTGATGGAAGTCTGGGTTCACCAGCAAGTCACCTCTCTTGTTGTAGGACATTTGGGCTTATGAAACTAGAGGCCGCATGACTAGCGGCATGAGGCTGTGCAGCAAACCCAATCCCCCCCTCCCCAGGATAGATTGTCAAGTGACTTCAGACAAGGTTAGCAATACTGGAGCTCGCTGGAGCTATGATTTCAAAAATGTGGCACATCTATCCTTGGCCTCGGGTACAATAAGGCCAGAATTATAGTAGAGGCTGACTGGGAAGTCAAGAGGCAAGAGATAAGGCTTGCTTCCTACAGTAAACACACCCTTCGGTTATGCTTCATACTGTTTTCTTGGCAGTGTTAAAGAAGTGGTTTCTCACATCCTTTTCCAGAATATTTTCTTTCGTTCCAACTTGGGCCAACAACCCTGCAATTCCTAAATGGTCCCAGACCAAACTATGAATCAGACTGTCTCTGCTTAGCTTCCAAGCTCAGCCAACGTTGGCTAGATGCTGCCATCTGTTGATTCTGTCAAGCTTCTTTCAACTCCCTAGGCCTGGATTTTGGATACACTCTGAGAGACATTCTTTTCCAGCATTCTGGATTGTTTGCTGTGCCCTTAACACTGGCATTTACTTCTTTGTTCTTGCAGATTTGGGAAACATTCCCACGATGAGATCTCCATCTTGGCTCCACTTAAACAGTGTTGCATGTAAGTACTTGCCTTTCCACATCAGTCTAGTAGTTAAATAGAAAGGCTACATGTTGTGGCCTGGGGAGCAAGCAAGCAAGTAGTCGCATGTTTTGCCTAACGATGCTAAATAAAGCAGGCCAAGTTCAAGAAGTCCAAATTGTTAGTACATGAACCAATCACCAAAAGATTTTCCCAACTCCTCTTTATCTCCCAGATTCACAATCTGGAAAGTGAAGAGTCCTGAAGAACCAGGAAAAAAAGGTCTCACACCTTGGGCAATGCTACATTTGTTCAACTGTCTCTCTGTGTGTGTTTGTGCGTGTTTTGGGTTGATTTCTAAACATCTAGCATCTTTAACGAAATTATTTTGCAGTTGTTTTAGCTGCCCAGAGTCATTTGCTATGAGATGGGTGGCAAATTAAATAAATAAATAAATAAATATTTTTTAAAATTTATTTTTAAATTTTTTAAACTCAGACTACAATGAATTCCAAGCTGCATGCAATCACCAAGATTTCATTGCCTTACTGGATATACACCCCTTCCTTTTCAAACCTGCTATTCATCAAAGCACAAGGAAATTGAGGCATTCATTTTGATCCCTGTCAAGAACATTAAGACTTTATCGGCTTCTAAAAGGAACCAAAACTTCATCCATTTCTTTTGTGTCCCCCTGCAGTCATTTTGGGGTGTAGGATTTACTCATAAATTGTAGTGCCTGTTTCCTCTCCAGGTTATTCTTTTATTAATTCATATAAATCAACAGCTAGTCCTTCAAGAAGTTGGACAAAGAGTTATTCATCCTCTGGGTTTCTTCCTCCAGCATAACTAACCAATTTCCACTATGTCCCCTCTAAATTTCTATAGAAGCCAATGCCAAAAGCATCATCCGAAGCCATAGAGATATATAGAGCCTCCAGGTCTGGTTTCAAGAGTGGTTCATTACTCACACCTTGCAAATCCATCTGGTTTATAATTATAGGGCTGCCACTAAATCTTTTAAATGCCCTTCAAGTCTGTACGCTCTAAATGGGCTTTTCCCCCCCACCCTGAAATGATCACCTTTTTTTGCCAAAAACTTTTCCTAACTTTTCCTAAAAGGATGATAGGGTGATTACATTAAATCATTCAAAAACATTAAAACTGCTAATGGTTATTGTCATTATAGCCAATATTTTCCCCGTAAAAACTGTGATGGAAGTATTGTGGGATTCCCTTGCTGTGTGACAGGTAATAGGTAGGAGAATCCCTTTCTTGCATAGCCAGTATCAATAATAATAATAATAATAATAATAATAATAATAATAATAATAATAATAATAATAATAATAATAATAATAATAATAATTAATAATAATAATAAAGTTGGAAGGGACCTTGAAGGTCATCAAGTCCAACCCCCTGCTCAGGCAGGTAACCCTATACCATTTCGGACAAATGGCTGTCCAGTCTCTTCTTAAAAACTTCCAATGTTGGAGCATTCAGCGCTTCTGGAGGCAGGTTGTTCCACTGGTTAATTGTTCTAACTGTCAGGAAGTTTCTCCTTAGTTCTAGGTTGCTTCTTTCCTTGATTAGTTTCCATCCATTGCTTTTTGTCTTGCCTTCAGGCATTTTGGAGAATAGCTTGACTTCCTCTTCTTTGTGGCAGCCCCTGAGACATTGGAACACTGCTATCATGTCCCCCCTCGTCCTTCTCATTTTGCTTCAATTTACTCAAATATCTATTCTGGATATATTGTGTTAATTTTACTACGGCTACATATTCCTCAAGTTTGAGCTCCCAAAATGATATTGTTGTCCTTAAATCTAACAGCATATATCTCAGTAGATTCTTTTATTTGTTTGTTTGCTTATTTGCTCTTGAAAGACTTCTAGAGTAGGGGTTCTTTTGGTGTGTGTGTGTGTGTTTTAACCCTGAGGATTCAGATCAAGCTTTCTTTTAAAGAATTTTGTAAATAATTATGTGTATTTCCTTCCAATGCTTTTAATTTTTTAACATGACCACCAGATATGATAAGGTATTCATTCTGTGCCACATTTCCAACATTTATTATTCATCTCTTCTTGCAATTATGGATTGGTCACATGCAATGGGAGGAAATACACTGATTTTTACTAATTATTTTTTAGTATTTATACTTATCTTTTATGATTCTTTTACTTTTTTAGAAGGTCATGTGCAATTATTTCAGATAATGACAAATGGTGATACTAATATAATATAAATAACATAAATCAATGGATGTTTAGAGTTTTGTAGTGATTTTAAAATTGTTAATGCTGTTTACTTACTAATATTTTTCCTTTCGTCCACTGTGTCCTTTCTCATTTTCTTTTTCCCATTGTGTCATTTGTTTTATTTTTCAAATATGTTAAAATGGGAAAATATGAAAAAGGCTGATAGGGAATGGGCTGAGCAGCATCAGACAGAGAACAAACCTTTTATTATACCAGAATAAAAACCAAGAAAAGTAACCAATAACTCCTTACACCCATAATCTAGACCACGGGTGTCAAACTCGATCACGTCATATGACCTATCGTGACTTTTTTACCTTTGTGGAGCCAGGGTGGGTGTGGCCTGCACGTGACGCATTCCGGCCCACAGGCTGCAAGTTTGAGACCCCTGATCTAGACAGAGGACTGAGCTTCTTTAGATTTGGCCTTTCCCGAAAAAAGCCTCTGCTTTTTCTGTAAGTAGCAGATTAGGAGCTTGCAATAGTTTTTCATTGTATGTCAAGTGCTCTGTTCAGCTATAAACTGGACACACCGAGGTTTCAAATATGTATAAGAATGCTTAGATCTTGAGGGTCTTTTTTTTTCATAAACAGATTTACTCAAATCTATCTTTCCTTTCCTTTAGAATAAAGAAGACCACCTTGTTACGGCTGCAGCTTTTAGCCAAGTCAGACTATAAACTCAGTGATATCATGAGGGAGTCCCTCCTTCAAGACCGTCTTGCCCCCGTGTTGACCGAAGACCACCTTTTGGCATTGGACAGGAGGTTACAGATTATCCTGAAAACTGTGGAGAAATGCATAGAGGCCTTTGGAGAAGACATTGTTGTAACTGATACAAAGCCTTTGGAACCCATGGCTTTTGACAGAATGACACAGCCAAGCTAGTAGAATCAAGGGGAAAAAAACTAGAACCTGAACTTGAAATGATCGATTGTGCTTCCTTAATCTGGACATTTAAGACTTGGGAGGAAGGCAGTCTCAGCAGTATCAGGAAACCACTGGGTGGTTGAAACCTGCAGCTTTGGCCTCAGATTTATAGATGGGAATCACATACACATCACCTACAATCTTCCTGCCTCTTCTCCAAGAGATTGAAGATACAGTCTTCTGTAACTACAAACTATGTCCTTCTCAGGATTTGGCTGGGCTCATCGTGGCTGGATTTGATTGGTGGATTGAATAAAGGGGAAAGACACTAAAAAACATTTCTGGAATGCATCCACATTGAGATTTAGGCTAATATTAATAAGGTGGGCATGTACCTCCTCAGGGATGTTTAGTTTATGGAGATCTGTAGTAGAAAGTCTAGCAGCCCTTGGCAAAAGCAAGCCATGAAAATGTGCTGATGTGGCAGACATTCTGGCTCTAATCTAGTTTAGACAACCCCAGAAAGAAAGAAAAAAGCAGGCATAGAAATGCTACTTTAAGGCATAAAATTCCACATGTGTCAAGGTTGCCAAGGAAGGGAAAATGGCTCTTTCCTTTGTGTAAGGATCCATCAATTTGGGATTGTGTTGTGCGTGCCTTCATATGGTGCCAAATGTCCTAGATAGCAAGGCAATGCATATAAGCTGCAATTTCACATTATTGCAATTGGCACTGAATTCTTTCCAGTCATTTGCTTTGGAATAATGAAGAATCTTGATTGAAGTCTCATCACCAGCTAGCCACTGTAGTAGTGCTTCTTTTTCATGCAGCAGCATCATAGTGGAAGCAGAACTAACACACACACGCATGCACACACACACACATGTGGGAGCCTTCACTGCAGTCTGATGTAAAGAGTAGCAAACAGAATGTGGGCTGCAGCACTATGAGTAGAAGAAGGAAATATACCAAGGTAATCTACACCAACTCTAAAAGCATTAGGAAACACATATGGAAGTTGAAAACAGATTTTGCACCACCGTGCTCCTTTTCAGGGTGCTAGCCAATTGCACACACTTCTAGGAATCTCCCATTCACTTTCTGACCCTCCCCCCTTTTTGCCAATAATTACCCTTCAACACTCTATAAGCAGGGTGTCAACTGACTATGGGTACCGATTTTTTTTTATTCCCTAGTTCTTTAACTATCTGGCACCGGCAAGGGAAATATTAAGGCTAGTAGGTCTATGGCAGGTCTTCTAGTCTACATCGTCATCAAAGTTGTCTATGATGCTGGTGAACCCAAGGTGTTTGAGGAAATGAGATATTAACTATTTCTTTCCCTGGTAAATTTATGCAAAATCATTAAAATATAGATTTTTTTTTAAAGTCTGGTCGTTAGAACCATCCGCCCCACCCCAATCCTTTGAAGTAAACTTGAGTTTACCCAGTGGTCCTTCAAAACAAGTAGATTTCTTTAATACACCAAGGAATGTTGACAATTCCACGAGTCGCTCCTAGTCCCTTCAGTAATTCCAAACATTTGTTGGTTTCATATTTGAAAATTATCTCTTGAGGATTTCTTGCATTTGATCATGGACATTAACAGGACACATACAGCCTATACACATTGTCTCCAATCTTTGTTTGTATGTGTGTGTTTGTCTGTGTGTGTAGCCTGCCCCCCACCCACCCACCCACCAGGATTACTATTAAGCTTTTGGCAAAGTCATTCAGCATAGGAGGTATGAAGATGGGACTACAAAGAGCAACAAAAGTTGAAAATCTAGTATCAATTCCTACCCAATACTGGAGTTCCACATGATCTTCCAAACCTGATCAAGCAACTTTCTGAAATTCCAACAGCTTCACTATTACTATTACCCATGGAGGCTGAGAATTCTGGTCTAGGTATTTGGAGAATATAAGCTAGGAAAAAAACTTCAATCTGAGGTATAAAACTGGTGTATTCCAGTTTTAACAATGAAAGCACCATATTCTTTATGATCCCTATCCAAAGACCTATTTATATATATATATATATTTATATATATATTTATATATCAAAAGTTAGATCTACAAATAGGAAATGTGGAAATTCACTTTCCAATTGCTGTCTATAGACATAAAAAAACATGTTTATACTTTATTGTACAAGTCCATGTGTAGCATAGCAACCCCTGCAAACCTCCAATTGCTCTTTGAAAGGATACTCAATCATTATGTCAACAACTTTGGGCAAATTACATGGAGACACTCCATAAACTTTCCTGGAGAAAAATACTCAGTATTTGAGTATCGTGTACATTGATAACCAAAGTTTACAAATTTTTATTTTCACTTCAGCTCGATTACCATCTTTGAACAATGGTTCATCAAAGAGTATTAAATTGGTTATATTATTTTTATCAATGAACAGTATTTCAGCTCCCTCTACTGATAGTTTCGGTATATGAAGATTTAAAACATTCTTTAAAGAAATTGTCCGGTTCCAAGGCCCATGGAATTAAAGGAAAGCATCAGCATTGTCACTTTGGATCTGAGGCAGTAAAAACTGATCGGTTTCCATACAGTACAGTCAATATCTCCAGTGGTCTATTTTTTGGCATTTTTCCATGTTTTTAATGCTAACATCAATATGAATTTAAAGAGTGGGTTTAAATACTAACTTGGTGTACTTCATCACTCATGAGTATATAAAAGGAAAAGCCCAAGATGAATTTATTGGCCATAATCAAGCACTTGAAGTCTATCTACTTGATTATCAAAAGGAATAATAATCCCCTATAATACTGAACACCCCCAAATACAGTGTTTCTTATCAAGTAATCTTACAAACTATTTACATTTACAAAAGTCATGTTTTCTTGCGCTGTTTGATGCCAAAGCATCAGAAGATTCATTTATTGGACAGTCAGCCCCCAGTTCAACTTTAAATTTTAAAGCAGAGCCCATATTTATTAATTTCTCATTAATTAATCCATAAAACATACTATTCAAACATTTGCTGGATTTTTTTGATCTATGTTTTGTTGACTACAATGCAATGGATCAGTTTGCACATTACACACTAAGCCATAAAAGGTACATCCACATTAAGCCTAAAACATGTAATTTTATGTTTTAGTGCACTGTGTAAACCAGTGTTTCTCAACCTTGACAATTTTAAGGCATGTGGACTTCAACTCCCAGAATTCCACAGCCAGCAATGCTGGCTGTGGAATTCTGGGAGTTGAAGTCCACATGCCTTAAAATTGTCAAGGTTGAGAAACACTGGTGTAACCATGGCTCCATTTTCCATTCAAGATTTTTTTTTATGAATCCCACCGAATTTCTATTCTGTAATCAAAGAAAACTAGCCCTAACCATAATTTAACCCAAGTAACTATTTTCCAAGGTGAAGCTCCTTTACAGCGACCCTAGTAAAATAGAGCGCAGAGGGAATGGCTGAGAGAGACAGGAGAAGAGCTACTATCAAGTCAATGGTCAATCAGGAGAAGCCTGATCTACTATGAAGAGCTGACGAGTTCATGTTTAACAATATATAAGAAACTATGCTACATTAACTAAGGTAAAAAGTGAGCTGGTATCAGAAAAAAAGTAAGACCATCCCCAGCTAGCTTGTTCCAACCCAAGAATTAGCAGGGGAAGGCCCCAGTAAAATGAAACACTGATTACATTTAAGAATTTAAATCATTTTATTGCTTTACCTGCCATTAGGACAATCTATAACAAAAGGAATATATTAGCACATACAGTAAGTCAGACTTATAGTCAGGTAACAATACAAAAATGGTCCTCTGGTTTACTATAGCACTCTAGGGCAGTAGATTTTTTTAATTTGCTAAGGTGACCTAGCAAAACAGAGTATCTTCTAAAGCCCTGAATGTTAGCTAAGGCAAACTATACCAACTGTGGATTCAAACATATTTAAATTGCACACAAAGGTAAAGCTTTAACTGTGATTAATATTTAACTCAGACGTAGCTGGTTCATCTTAAAATCCTGTTGGTAAAACTACAAAAGGGAGTAAACAGCAAGCTAAAAAGACGCAGTAGTGAAACTTGATTAGAAAGCCTTATATAAAAAAATGTGCATTTTTTTTTAGCGCTTACATAACATTTAAAATCTTTTTGGTGCTTCAACAAGGATCAAATCAAGCTTCAAAAATAACAAAGGTATAAGGAAAAATAATCCCTGTAGGTTTAAACTGAATAGAATTTAGAGAAAAAAGTAACATGGATCTCTGAAGATTGCAGGTGGATATCCTTACCTTACCAAAGTGGTTAGGATAAGTAGAAGGAATTAACAATGTATATTTTACATTTAATCCAAATTCAGATACGCGGACATATCAACGACTGCCCACAGATTTTTTTCAAAAAATATGCTAAGGTTCCTATTCCTCCAACTACAAAGAATGATTAGCAAATGTTCTTCCAACAGACAGCAAGTCAGAAAGGTGTATACCAGGGTCCAATTGTCCGAGGGGAAGGGCTGCTAACCGGGCAAGTAAGATCTGTAAGAAATAGTTGCATAAACAATGCAAAACACTTGCTGCCACTCCCATATAAAGCTCTACAGTAGTTTTAGATTATTTATGTTACAAATAAACTGACTTGCTTACATTCTCCAACTCTGAAATTCAATAAAGCTAGTGGGTAGCACCGAGTGCCACACGGAATATTGTTAACACAAACCTGGTAAATACTGAAACACATTTTCGACTTGACAACAGGATTAACTTTCCAAAACTAGTTATTCCACTAGATCAACGAGAACGTGAGGCCAAACAAATTAGAGCATGTGTCTCCTTCCAGCTAAATATTTTAGGAGTTTGACAGGAAATAGGCATTGATTCTTCTGCTTCCTGTATTTCATTTTAGCCAGAGTCCTATCATCTTCCTAAATTAGACTGTATATTCCATCCTGCATTGACCACCAGTTACATAAATAGCATCACTGAACTATCTGGTTCCAAAGTTAACAGGGAAGGCAAAGCTTGGAAAGGGCAGGCATAAGACTGCATACATAAGAATGCACCCTTCAGCTTCCTGTTCTAGATAGTGTGGATGGGGTGTTACAACTCACACTAGCTGAGGAGCAGTATACTAGTGTAAACACCTACACCTATATTCGGGGGTTTAGCACATTGGTTGCCCTTTGAGAAAAATTAGGAGAGGCATATATTATAAATATTCACATCTGAGAACAGGCAAAACTTTTTGCTGTGCCAAAGATAGCAACACTTGGCAATAGTTGCCAAAACAAAAGCTTGTATACAAAAACCTGACAAACAATAACCAAGCCATCTTGAAATGGATACAGATGCACAAAACTATCAAACTTCTAACTCTGGTTTTACTAGAAGCTGATCTCAGTAAACTTTACCAAACATCACCCATATCCAGAACATTTTGCCAAGAGGTTGAGCTGAGAAGGTAAGTTTCTCTGTCTGAGAAAAGGACAGTAGAAAGTGATCACAACCTAAAAGGAACACGGGACTCTCTGCGGAGAACGCACGTTTAGAATTTCCCACCGTTACATCCTTAACTCTACTGCAATAACCGCGGTGCTCAGGAATTGTTCCCAGCAAAAGGAATGGCAGTCACTGGCCATACCGGACAGTGTACATTGCACAGAGAGAAGCAGTAACAGTAAAAGTTTCCATACAATTCCCTATTTTCAATGGGGCTGGGAGCACCAAAATAATGCTCTTAAAATTTAAAATGCTGTGAAAAGCAACTGCTTTCTTCCCGTCCCCACCCCCACCCACCCCCACTCTCAGACAGACAGGAAGCTGCAATAGCCAGTAGCCGTGTGGCTCTGCACAAGAGTAATGAAAACAGTCTGCATTTGTGAAGCATGTATTTTGAGAAGGAGGGAGACTTCAGACAGAGAGAGAGACAAAGCTGTTGTACTGCTGGATGTTCCGTTTCAGGATATCGGAGCACGGACCCAAGACACGCTCAAATCTGGGCCGATCAAGCTTTACACATTTTAAGGGGCCACGAGCAACAACAGTGGCAGCACGAGGACGATTCATTAGTAGAGCTATTTCACCTGCAAGAAAAAAAAGACATTTATTCCATATGGACCAATGAATGTAAAATTGATAACTCATGAACTGAGCCAAAACTACGCTCTCTTTCATTATGAAAAAATATAATTAACTCTTGAACTACTGTAGCGACTTTTGCTCTCATTAGTCCCTGCTAAGTGGGGTTTAGATAATTATGGATAGCCCACCCTTTCCCCCCTTATCTCCTTAACAGGAAATATTTGGAAATGATTGTTGTGAAATTTCATTAACATAATATATTATGTATAATGTTGTGCATTGTTGGCGTGTATGCTAACCTAGAGGTGGAGCAACCTGAGGCTCTAAGGCAGTGGTTCTCAACCATTTTAATGCCGCGACCCCCAACCGATCGTAAGTCGAGGACTAAACCGGTCGTAAGCCGAGGACTAAACTGGTCGTAAGTCGAGGACTAAACCAGTCGTAAGTCGAGGACTACCCAACTGGTTGTAAGTCGAGGACTTTCCCTGCCCGGGAGCGCTGCGCATGCGTGGTTCCACCCCCTGCGCCAGCCGAGGCGTAGCTGGCAAGCGGCAGAGACGGAGCAGGCCAACCACCAGCTGGCCCAGCTCAAAGGAGGTAAGGCACCCGCCAGAAAAGGGGGAAAAAATGGCGGACAGCCTTGCTTGGCGACCCCCGTGAAATGGTCGATCGACCCCAAATGGGGTCGCAACCCATAGGTTGAGAACCGCTGCTCTAAGCATATATGAAATCGTCAAACCCGATTTTTGAAGCTGCCTCCAGCAATGATTTAAAACTGGAGAAAACTTCCAACATTTAAAGACAGGAAACACAACTAAACCTTTAAAATAAGTTTTATATACATTAAAGGAATAAAATCTCTCACAACCCCAAGGGTGAAAAAACAGAAAAAATCCAAATCCCACAGGTTTTCCAGGATTGCTCCGCCCTCTGTGGCTCTTATACAGGCAAAAAGCATAATGTCAACTTTAGTAACCCAAAGGTTGTCTATTCCTGCCTTAATATGAATAGAGATATAATTCCTATCTGAGGACTCCCATCTGCCTTCAAATGAAAACTAGACTTTTCCTTCAAGCAAAAAGCTAGATCTTAGACATCATAAGTAAAATGTGTTAAGAATGAAGAGAAACCATTTCACTCCATTTATTTCCCTCAGGAGAATGCAATGCAATTTTGCTTCAAACCTCAAAATTTGGGAAAGGCTTCACTTGTTTCCAAGTAATAGTGAATATAGAGACTCCTTTCAAGCTCAGATGGTTAAAAATGTTCTTTTACAGTGTTGGGGAATTGTGTTTTAAAATAAAAAATCATTTTCAGAACTGCCAATAGACATTAAATCTGGATTAACATACCATGTTTTGGATTCCCCCCCCCCCAATCCTTTTTTGGGATATATTTCTAATGAACCACAACTGGCTTAACACCATTTGTGGTTGCAGGTTTTCTACCTGTTGCTCATTGTTAGTGTAGTATATATTAGAATATGTATTTTAGAAAATGATACAATTCTATATAGGGTTGATGGAAAGGTCAAAAATATGTAAGTCTCGCTTCCCTCTTCTCACATTAATTTCAGAAGAAATGAGTTATGCTAACTACAGTTAACATAGGGCAGGAGACTGCCTTTTGCATACCAAGTGGCTTGCTAGTAATATAATTGGGCTTTGAGGAGCTAGCAAAAAATAATGTGGAGAAGCTAATTGCCTCATTCTAGTCTCCTCGGATAACAGAGAAAATCATTTTCTCACATCATTTCTGGAAATGTTCCATAATACTGTGGAAATATATTTAAAAGACAACTACAATGTTCTTTCTTCAAATAATACGACACTGTTTTAATTCAATCCGCACCCTATTCCAAAGATCATCTTATGACAGACAATACATTATCTAAATAGGGGAATTTTATTTCAATCAATTTCATGATGTTCCAATCCAAAGCTCTTATGACAGATTTCCAAGCCAGAATTTAAGAAGATTGCTAAGGACATAAAGCTATTCTGTCATCAGCAGCCAAGAAGAAAGTCTATCATCGTCACTAAAATCTATTTAGCTCTGAGGAATATTGCATCTTTTTCAAGTAACTTTTAGTATGCGGATTAGTATCAGTCTGATGTCAACATTTCCTGCTGGAGCAATGTATTTCCCTGACTTAAGCACTATTAGAGAGACAGTGGTGGGATAATACTGATATGCTTATGGGAGGTGGAAGGGATGGAAGACAAAGGAAAACTCACCAAAATAATCAGAGGGTGCAAGTCTGCCCACTTCAACAAATTCTTCATGCTCTGACCTGCGCTGCAACACTGCAGCTGTACCCTGTAAAGGAATCAGAGGGTGGCTTTTTTCTTCTTCTATGTGCCAAGACAATAGTTTCAACATTGATTCAGAAAGCAGAGGCATCTCCATTTAATAACTCAGATTAAACTGTTCCCATAACCCTTAAGACCTACTGAGAGAAGATGTGTGCCTGCACTTGGTGCCATATATTACCCACAAGTTTGTTTTTATAACCAAACTGAATATTCTTTCTGCTGTATCATGATCAATAAATTAAATTTACTGAGAGCCATTTTAAACTCAGTGTAATCTTGCTAGTGTTTTTCTATACGTTTTCAAAAATACAATTCATATTTCATGATAAGGATTGGACTCTAATATTGCAAAAAAATAATAATCAGAGTTAAATCAAGAGAACCGAAGCTAAAGCTGTATCTATCTAACAAACAATACAAATTATGATTACTCACCTCTAATATAATGAAAAATTCATCTCCGGGTTCTCCCTGCACCACAATTTTTTGTCCATCTTCAAACTGTACTGGCTCTAATGCATCAGCCACTGTGAGACGTTCCCATTTGTCGAGGGATTCTGAATTAAAAGGTAACTATTTAACAGCAAATTTTGCTAGGTTGCCAAGATTTATAATTAGGGTGTTTATTTCAAATGAGGGTTTTCTGCTCCTATCTACTCCAGCATCCATTATGCAACCTGTTCAATCACAATCACTTTACTATGAACAATTTAACATTCATTCACATCACAAATTTGGCAATTCAAATATTAACATCTCAACAATGCCCAAAGGATTGTCAAGGTCCTTTATAGCAGATTAGGTGACTATATTTTAATTAATAGGTCAGGACTAAGATAACTGTGACCTCTCAAGGTCCTGAAATACAAATTCCAATATCACTCAATACCAGTCACACTACTGGGGTTGCTGGAAGTTAAGAATCTGCAACTTAATGAGGAACTTTTAGCGTAAACACTAGCAATTCTAATGGACATCCCTTTCTGGCAGCATGTTCCAGATTCAATAAGGAGATTTTCTCTTTCACTCACAGAGCTGGTAATACTCCATAGAAGTATTGATTCATTCCCTGAATCAAAGTCAAATTAATTCTTAGGGTGGTGGGTTATTCAAAATGTTATCCCTTCGTAATAGTTCATCAACTTGAAGGATTCAATATTTTAGAATAGATGACTGATTTTTAATCGAGTTCTAACTAACATTTTGATGACATGATTATTTTTCCTGATTTACTGATTTTCATTTGTTACTTTTGATTGTTAGGATTTTTTTGAGATTTTATTAGTAGTGTTTACTTAATAGATCAACGTATTCGTTTACTAATTGTTTTTAATATGTTACAGTCTAAGCTTTGCTAAAAATGGTTGAATATGATATTTACTCATTATTATGATCCGGACGGTAGCTTGTTTGTTTAAATATGTGATTGTACCTATCCTTATTTTACCCTAATTCCTTATTCCCTTCCCCTTCCCCTTCCCCTCCACCCCTCCTTTTACTATACCTGTATTGTTCCTATTTTTCCTCATCCATATAAACTTAATAAAATTTTGTTTAAAAAAAAATAGTTCATCAACACAAACAAGGTATTTAAAAAAATAATAAAGTGATCAAAATTGTCTTTAGAAATACCTAAATGCTTACAATTGACAATACTGTACATAGATCAACATACAACTGTTAATGTAACAGATCCTTACAAGCAATAAGTTTCTCGTATACAGTTGTTTTCCTTTATAGCAAGGTTGCAAAAAAATTGACAATTTAATATGTAGTACAGAAAGATGTTCTGAAGCAATGTCTGGACTCTAAAATCCTGTTTTGGAGATAGGCTACATGAGTACATAAACAAGTAAATGATATGGGCATGGATGTGCGCAAATACACATAGATACAGTATATAGGAAGCATAAAATGTACGAAAAGAGTTGAATAAAAAATAAACGACTGAAGGACACCAAACAAAACTGTGGAAGAAAATATTTAAGAGGAAGCAGTATCTGACCTATATGCTGAAACACATACAGAAATGAAATAAATTTTCTGTAGTTTTTCAGCAATACAAGTTAGTCACAAACCAAACTTTTGTCAAAAGGAAGAATGAAACCCCTGAATTTATGTCATTCAGGCTATTGACAAGGTGTAAGCAGGATGATAAAGAGAACAGCAATACAATACAATGCAAAATCATAAATAAAAAAGAGAAGAGCAGCAACAAGATATAGAATAACAAAATGCATGTAATATTCTCTATTTGTTCATGTGCTAGTAACAGCAAGAAATTTGTCATACTTACCAAGTATTGACACTTTACTAAGAAACTCTTCATACATCTTTCTCTTCCTCAGTGTGCTGCCCTGGAAGTTGGGGAAGAAAATACACCTGAAAATCAGTATTATCTCTATTTTGCTTTGTTTCAGGAAGCCAGAATGCTCTCCTATCATGAGAGTATTAGTATTAGTTCTGAGTCCTTGGTTTGTTAGTTCCTAATTGAACAATAAATAATAGTTTAAAAGTGTATTATTGAGAGACCCAGGAGAGCAAAAAGATGACTTACAATTTTTAAAAAATAAATTAACATAATATGCCATTTAGATACTTAACACTAAGTATCTATATGGCATATTATGTCCATTTATTTTTAAAAAATCAGTTTCATGTGCATCCATTTAGTTGTCAGTCCTGCTAAACTTGGGTGGGGAAAGTTTTTGGCCTTTAAGAGCTTCTTAAATGTATAATACAAAACCAAAACCCTTCTTGGGACATAGATATCTGGTCCAATATTCACATGAATTATATTCTGTTCACAGCATTAAACAGTGCTGTTATGGGCATGGCTCTCTACATAATGTAGAGAGAAGTTATTTTCACTAATTCCTTTTTTCTTTGCACTCTCTAGCCATCATGAGACAAAACAAATTAATTATAAGCAAGAGTTCCTTATTTATTTCTGGCTGTTAAAATAATTTGCTTCCTTCAACCAGTATCTATTTAGCAACATCAATTTAGTTTACAGTTGAATAAATTAATTTTATTAGAATGCTAATGATTGGAGTTTCATAGCCTTCCCACCACATAAAAAACATTCATTTAAAGTAAGATTTTGAAGTGCAAATAGATTAAATGGCAGATTAAAAAATGAAAAGCTCAACTTGCCCCGCTTAAATGAGGTTTATGAGGTCAGGTTAGAGCATTACTGAGAACTCTGTAAAACCAGGAACTCATTCAATATCATAGTTAATAATATGGCTGAAGACTTCTGAGAAAACTGTTATGTCTGTAATTCACCTCTAACATTTACAATGCAGCAAGTGTGAATTTCAGAAACTAAGCTGTCAAGTCATTCATCTTCACCGATGAAAACAATAAATATGTTTGACTGGGATTTAGCAAGCTAAAATTGTACAGGTCCCACCGCAAGTGTGGAAATTAAAGAATTGTGCATTTCCATATCACTTAGTATAAACAGCTAACTTGTGATATCTTAGATGAATTATTTTGGCATAAATGATTATTGTGAGAAAAGAGTATTCTTGAGCAAAAAATTACAAAGCAGTATTATTCATGAATCCTGATGAACAAGAACTTATCAAGTGGGGTTCAATTCTTAATCCTAAATTAAGCAGAGACATGGGTATTGATCTGATCACTAACATAAACACACATGTGTCACATCCAACATCCATTTTGTGAAATGATCACTACTCAGTTGTTCTTCCTATTAGTTCATTATAACTCTACCATTTACTGATATACTTCCCCAAACACACCAAAGCGCGGTATAAATACATTGTTTTTTTCAAGACATTGAAATGCTTACCATAAGGATTCTCCTATAGCTATCTCGATCAATACCCCACAGTTTCACATTGGTTTTTGCTTTGACAGTCGCTGCTCGGGGTGTCCCATAGATCAGTGCAAGTTCTCCAAAGCTGCCCCCCTCCCCAACACTGGTGGCCCATTCACTGTTCACATAAACCTGGAGGAGGAATACATACACATTTATTTCAAAATATATTTTATGTTTCAGTTTTGGTATGTACTTTGTTAATTCTAGTTTTTAAAAAGGAAAATCTTTTTACATTCTGTTTTAAATTTTGTTAACAGCATTGAGGTATTTCCAGAACAGAGTGAAATCAAACAAATAAATCACATCTTAATAATTTCTCATGTGTTCATAATATGCAAACGCTGAGAGGTTGTTCCTGTTTGAAAAAATGCTTAAGCAATACTTGCATAATAAAAGGGTTCACTCTATTCATTTACCCCAATGTACTACCTAGGGTGTAAGTTACTTTTTATTAATTATGTGCCATCAAGTAATTAGTGGCTCTTAGTGACCACATAGAGGATGATCTGTCCTCAACCTTATTCCTCAGATCTTTCAGTGACAAACCCACTGAAATTCAGTCCAACCACTTTGCTGCTAGACACCCTACTCTTCTTTTTCTATCTTCATTTCATAGCATTAAAAACCTCCAGAGAGCTAGGTCTTCACATAATGTACTCAAAATATGGTAATATGAGCCTGGTCATTGTGCTTTGACTGAGAACTCTGGAACCATTTATTCTATGATCCATTTATTTATTTTTTCTTGGCTGCCCAAGGCATTCTCTCAAGACTCTCCTCCAACAGCAAGGTTCAAGAGATCAATACTCTTTCTATGCCGCCTTTTCAAAGGGATTACTAGGATATATTTTTTTCACTGCTTATAGACTGCTCCAATCTGAATGGCTTTAGCTGTATACACATAGTCCTTGACTTACGACCACAACTGAGCCTGACATTTTTATCCTAAGCAAGACAGTTGTTAAATAAGTTTTGCCCCATTTTACAACCTTTTCTGCCGCAGTTGTTAAGCGAATCACTGCAGTTATTAAGTGAATCATATCATCATTAAGCAAATCTGGCTCCCCCCCCATCTACTCTTTTGTCAGAAGCTAGCTGGGAAGGGTGACATATGGTGATCACGTGGGACAGGACAACTTCATAAATACATGCCAATGGCCAAGAGTCCACATTTTGATCACGTGACCATGGGGATGCTGCAATGGTCGTAAGTTTGAAAACTGGTCATAAGTCACTTTTTCCAGTGCCATTGTAACTTCAAACAATTATTAAATAGTTTCAAGTCGAGGACTACCTGTATGTGAGCAATCCAAACAGTGAACATTTCAATATAGTAAAACAACTCACTCAATAGAGCAAAACAACAAAAACAGATACATGCCAATGTAGGGCCCAGGTTTTGCTGAAGTAAAATCATTTTGAGAAAGTTCTTGAGCACAAGAATGGGAGTGAATCATGCTTCCAGGAGGGAGCATTGTGCCATTCGGTGGGAATTACTATGGAAGAGGCCGGTCCCTTTAATTTCCTATAGGATGGGGAAACCCAGGCCAAGCTCTTTATGTTAAAATTAAATTTATTAAATGTGTATGCCACCCAGTTCCCAGTGACACTTAATTGTTTTTGTTCATACTTTTCATTCCTGATTATTTTAATCATGATTTTATAAGCCATGATTAAAATAAACCTCTTAACACAGTGAAAGCACCAACCAATATCTTAATTTAGTCTCAACAGTAGCCTGTGCTATATCAAAATGTATCAGAAAATACAGGGCTAAAGCAAGCTTAGAGAAAGGCAGACCACAAGTCCCAACTGGTTATTTGTATTGTATTTAATAATCATGACCATCTTTAATATTACATGTATTAAAACCATGCAACGGCACTAGATTAATGTATTTATTTAAGAAAAAAAAACTTACATCCATTTCTCCTTGATCAACAACATAGAAGTTATCCCCTTCGTCACCTTAAGAAAAAAAAGGATAGTGTGTGAAATAACTTTTCTAATTCTTTAAAAAGCATTAGAGATGTGCCTTTTAATTCCAGCATCAATAGAACTTTTTAGATCAAATTCCAATCATAATACATACAATTACAATTTTATATTTGGCATAATTTTAGAATAGCCAGTACTTCCTCCAGTTTCTGGTGCAAATTCACGCAAGTTAAACTTTGTATTCTATGTCTAACTATTAATAAAAAGATGGAGCTATTCAGCCATGATTGGATAGCATTAACCTTGTGAACTCTCAAGCTTCCTCCTTCCGCTATATATTCAAGATGGACAGTATTTAATATTTATTTGTTATGTATATGTAGGGGTGTGGGTCTATATATATGTTGTACATAGTATGTTTAGGTGTATGTCATGTATGTGTTTCATTTTGAGACCAGGCAACTAAATTTCATTTTTGATGTGTGCCGCTGTACCCACAGTAAAAAAATGACAATAAAAGTTATCTTATCTTATCTTAAGGATCAATCAGCTTCCCTCAAGAGAGTGTAAAAACTTCTGCAAAAACCAATGCTGGCTGCTATTTGTTTTTAATAGTTTTTATCCCCAACCCTAACCAATTTACCAAGTTTACCAAAACGTTACCAAGGCAAAATAAATAATGAATAACTTACATCAGAAGAAACCCTAATATATTGAATAGTGAACACAGGTAGTCTACAATCATAACTGAGCCCAAAATTTCCTGTTGCTAAGTGAGACAGTTGCTAAATGAGTTTTGCCCCATTTTATGCCCTTTCTTGCCACAGTTGATAAGTGAATCACTGCAGTTGTTTAAGTGAATCTGATTTCCCCACTGACTTTGCTTGTCAAAAATTTGCAAGAGGTGATCATATGACACTGGGACACTGCAACCATCATAAATATGAATCAGTTGCCAAGTGTCTGAAGTTTGATTTTGTGACCATGGAGATGCTGCAACAGTCATAAGTGTGAAAAAGAGTCATAAGTCACTTTTTTCAGTGCCATTGTTAACTTCAAATGATCACTAAACCAACTGTTGTAAGTCGAGGACCACCTGTAACATCTTTCTTTATCAAGTCCTATACCAGGGGTAGGCAACCTTGGCTCTTTTATGTCTCGTGGACTTCAACTCCCAGAATTCCTGAGCCAGCCAAGCTGGCCCAGGAATTCTGGGAGTTGAAGTCCACAAGTCATAAAAGAGCCAAGGTTGCCTACCCCTGTCCTATACTATAAAAAAAAAATAAACAATTACGTAAGCCAATACCTTAGAAATAAATTCCAAGCAAAAAAATAAATCACATACCTTGCTGTATCACAGTCTCACCAGCAATATAAGTGACTGGAAACATCGCATCAAATATATCACTGAAAGAGTACAGACTTACTCAGCATAAAAGGAAACAGTGGAAAACATTTATGCTAATATTGTTAGTTACAATTAAGTTATCAGAAAAAATTGTTTTTATGAGTAGTCTAGATTTGGTCTTTTTTTTCAGCTGACATTCATTTGCTGAACTGCGGTGTTTTGTCATTTCCTACCTCATTCCATTTTCATAATGGAATCTGTAACAATGTGAACAATCCACTTTGTTTCCGATTTTTCAATTCTAAGACAACTATAATGACCACCATTTTGTTAAATACAACTAAAACCTGGCTTTGCCAAAAAAAAAACCTGCTGGATAAGTTAGAGAGAGACTCATAGTATTAAAAAATATCCATGCAGCTTTGTATGGATAATAGCTAGTTTAGTTTGACTAAAGAGCAAATCCCAAACTCAAATTCATAAAGCAATATTTATCTGAGTTGAAAACTAATTTGAGAGTACTAATTGTACCAAAGGACAATGATAGATTTTTCTTCTCTAATCTTACAGTTCACCTTTAGATATGTTTTTAGTCTTGCCTAGGAAGTAAAAAAGTAGATTGCAAACACTGCGAGCAACATGAGGTTATTATAATGCCCTATGGAATACAGAGTCTAGGAGGAATATGAATATAGATAACCTCCAAGGTCCCTTCCAACTTTACTATTATTATTATTATTATTATTATTATTATTATTATTATTATTATTATTATTATTATTATTATTATTATTAATATTCCATAGACAGAACCTCCTGAGGATACAAAAGCAAATTCTTATGAGATTTTCCCATATTCCCCCCCCCCCCCAAAAAAAGACACTTTGGTTAAGGCAGTGTATCTACCTAGTTTGAAGGCTCTTTTATAATTGGGAATCAAGCAGATAATCTGCTCGTTTCAGAGAATAATTAATTCTACTACAATTAAAGTAAATAAAAATAACTCAGAAACAATGACTGCAGCTTGAAGATTCTAGAGATCTACATCCACAATTTTTGGATTTTGGACTGAAAAAAATTTGAGCAGGCGAGCTGTCATTCTGTTTTGGATGCAGCCATTACAAAGCCTACTGCATTCAAAACAGAACAGTAGTTCCGATGCAACACAGTCTGTTTGTTCTGCATACAGAGCAATCCACACTTTCCCTTCAATGTACATCTGCCAATATAGACTGAGTCAAAACCAAGTTCAATTTCAGGCAGGTTAAAAATTGCAACTGAGAACCTTGCCTTTTACCTCTAAAAATTTACTTTTCAGGCAAAAACCAATGAGGAGTATATAGGAGTATAGTTAGAAACTTTAAATAATTTAAATATTTTAAATAATTAATTCTAAAAGCTATACACTGGATTTAAGTTGTGTTTCATATAAGATTAACACAAGAATTTTTGCCTCAAAAAAAATGTAATGAAATCAGCTGGAAAACCTTAGTTTGATGTTAAAAAATTAAAAAGCCCCCAAATCCACTGGAAAATAATCCTCGATATGCAGAGTTTTGAGTCTGTTCAGTCTCTAGTTTGATTTAAATGAAGAGACCCTACCTTCTTTCGTTGTCATCAAGATGGGCAAAGAGCACATTCTTCTCAATAGCTTTCGCCAAGGCAGCCATAGTTTTATAATCTTTTGGAATAACCTGCGGTATGGAAGACACCCAGGAAGTTTTAGCTGAAGACATTTTAAGTGAATTTATCATTCATCCCTGAATTTAGCGTTTATTTGACAGAATCATATACCATTTTTCTGAAGAGGTAACTTTACTCTAACATGATATATTTATTAATTTGAAAGAAAAAGAATTACCAATGATCAAATGTATTGTTTTGCCAAAGTTCTGAATACAAATTTGGGGGGGGGATTAATGAGAGCTATTCTTCCCAAAAGAATAGCAAATCTATTGATATTTACAGAAAAAAATAGCACAAGTCCAAAAATACAGAAAAATATTTGCCATTCGTTATATTAAGTATAGTGTCTTAGAAACCACCTCCTGAACATCCAGATAATTTAGAACTTGTTGATTTTGCTGGTGAGATAAAATGAATAAAGCAACAAAACATATATGTCTTATTCTTCCCTCTTGCTAGCATAATGGCACCAAAAAAAAACAGTCAACATTTTAATGAATTTCTCATAATTCAGGTTCTTAAAGTCAGGCTTTGAATAAACTATACAAAAGCCGTATAGATCACAAAGAGGAGATCACAGGAGATCTAATGTTGGGAAAATGTGAGATGAAATCATACAATAGAATCAAAGATAGTTTGTCTCCTCAAACAGGTTCCAGCAGCCCCAAGGATGGAAAAAACAATATACAAGTCATGAAGTAAGGCTTATACAAAATATCAAAGCAGCACCTTTCTAACATAAGAGGCAGCATCCTCTTCAGTGTAAACCTCTGCACTAATGGCACCACGCCTTCTGCGACCTTTAACCACTGGGTTCATTGGTGGTGGAGGAGAAATTTCATCTTCACGGGAATCTGTGCGAGAGCTGGCTTTCTGCTGACTGATAAACTGCTTTGTTTCTTCCTAGAAGGAAACAGAAATTTAAGCCATATAGATATTACAGTCTATTTCTTCTTTCTTATTTGGCTTTACAAAATTCATGCACCGTGACACATATACAAACTATATTGTTGAAACTGGATCACATACTTAATAGAAACCAAAATTCATTCTTGTCAACTATCTTGTACTTAAAATTGCCTAAAGTTATTACTGATTCTTAGTAGAAGTCATTTTAAGCTGCCAAGTACATATGAATACTTGAACTGAAGATTAGAGTTAAGTTACTGAATCAATAGGGTGACGTAGGCTTTGATACAATCATACTGCATATTGCATTAATATTTAAAAAGGGAAGAGATACTTATACACTTCTACAATTTTAGAACAATCTGCATACCCTTTTACAATTTAGAAAAAAGAGGCAATTTATGAATCCTGAAGCCCTAATGATGTAAAAAATCTTGTCATGACCTGCTAATTTTTTTAAAAAAATTAAAACATAATGCTGAAATTTTTATCTAGCAGTTTGCATAAATTGACAAGTAGATTCTGTGCAATGGTTTTGTAACTTTTAAAATAAAAATAATTTAACATTATTTTAATTAATCAATTTTAATTACAATCATTTTAAAATCATAAAAATATAACATTTTTGTAAATTAAAATGTTATATTTCACACACGACAACAGAAAAAAGGGGACAATTAGCAACTTACTTGTAAACCAATATATAAATTTATGAAACTTGCTGGTTCAATATTGAATGTCTATTTTTGGAATACAATTACTATCTTGTAAGTAGCATATTAGACAAGCAACACAACCAGCAATTCAGATCTTGAAAGAACATGTCAGCATCTTGTATAGTGTAGCGTAGTGGCTGCTTTAGTAGACAACATTTTGAGAATTAAGATGGGTTAATTCTCTCATGATGAAGAATAAGGTAACGATGAAAAATGTGCAAGAATGTATCACAGCCATGCACATGACCAGGATTTTCTTTTAGATCATTGGTACATTTGAGAATGAAATCTCAATCAGAGGGGGAAATATTCATTATTCATGGCAATCTATTAAAGCAGATACTATAGTATTACAACAATTTATATCATTGCCATATATGCAAATTATGTCATTAATGATTGTCATTATGCGATCTATGTTAAATTATGCAAATGATATAAATCATCATGGAAATTTGGGATGTTACTTATAAAGCTATTATACTTATTGGAACCAATTTTTGATTAAAATAAAAAGTATTTTAAATATTTTATCAAACATGAGACCAATATAGTTTTAAAATAAACACACTTGCCTTATGTATCAGTCCCTATTCAAAGGACTCCTGCTTAAAAAAAATCAACTAAAAATCAGTACATTAATCTATTGGTTTGATACAGTATACTTCAAAACATTAAATTACAATGAAAAATTTCATCTGTAAGAGAAACCTCCATTGGATCTAGAAAAAAAAGAATTTTACTGGCTGCCTCTTCTTCCCTGACACAAATGGGCCCTAAGGGATCAGTAAATAGAAGAATTCAGAGATTCATGGTAGGGTGCAGTGAGATAGTCCTTCCGGCTGGCACAAGACATCTCTGAATCCAAGCCAGGAACTTAAAAGCTCACACAATCACTTGACTGCTTTTAGAGAACTACATAATTCAATGTTTGGATCAAGCCAAATTCAAAGCTGCATGGATCGCAAGAGTCTTACCCATCAAAGTACTGTTTATGTGTCCACCCTTAAAGGGTGAATTAAAAGTACTTGTACATAATTATCAATATATGTGCAAAGTGACTCTTCTACACAAAACAAAGCATATATTTTCCAATATTATGTCCCAAGAGCCTTAAATGTATTAATCTAACAATTCAGAGACTACAGAAAACGCTAAATATTGGTCTTGTGATATGCCTTTAGATAATCAGCTGCCATGCCATGAATGTTGCTGACCTTCTCTCCTTCCACAGAATGTTGACATAGAGATGGGAGAAGCTGTTACTGAGACAGCAATCAAAGAACAAGAAGAAAATATTACTGTAGCCATGTTGAGCAGTAAACACAATTTATGTACGTGGATCTTTTTGAATGTGCATAAAATGGTTGCAGTTATGCAAAATGTTTAACCAAACAGATAGTTTTAGTAATTGCATATATGTTAAGGTAGATTAACATACATGCAACTGGACTTTTTGTGTACCTTAGCATCTTGTGTAAACTCAACCCACTTTGTTAATTAGTTCTATTTATGGCATGTGTCCCTAAAATAGTTAATTCTGATTGGCAGGTTCCATGAATAGTCATTCAATATGTTCAAACCAAAAGATCATATTTTATAAAGAATGTCAAAACCAGATTTTAGAATTATAAGCATAACATTATTTGTAAACAATGCCATATTTCTATGACAAATCTTATGGGGTTGAAACATTTTTTCTTAGCAACATATTAACATTATAATTTTTTCTTTGCTTGTTGTCCATCTACAATTCAGTCATGCTGACTGCATTCATATTAAGTCATAATGTAGCTTGTTTGGGATTGTTTTGTCTGAAAAGCCTGTTTTTTTGTAAACTATGTTTATGCCTTAACATCATTTACCAATACTTTCACACAATATGCTAAACCAAATCGTGATTTGGGGTCGATATGCTGTGTGTATCCCCTTGCTGAGTTTGTAATCCTTGCTTTAAGGTGTATTATGAAGTCTGAAGTTAGCTATTTTGATTTCTTCAGCCATGCCAAACAAACCCAATTTGTTTGAAGACAGTGTAAGACTCAACATGAATGAAAGCATCATCTTCACTCCCATTAAATAAAATGGCACAACTTCATGTATATTTGTTTGTATACAAGGCTTATAGTTTATTCCAATCAAAATTGACTCTGAGTAGCATACAAATTCCCCTTTGATTGGACAGCATTGAGAAGAATCAGATGTAACTTCTCATTTACCAAAAAATAGTACAGGTGCATAGAACAATTATAATTCCAATTTCTATAAATTTCTGCACCACAGAATACTCAGATACTATACAATCAAAGTTTCTCTGCCTGCCAATGATAATAAATAATAAAAAGTTTTTATCTTCCAATGATTCCTTCCATTTTGGACCATAATATGCTTTTCATAGAGCAAGCCTTTCCTGTCCAGTTTGAAAACTGATGTTAAACTTGATTTTAAGAATATATTTGAAGGTTTTGTTTCTATGTGGGAAAAGCAAAGAGCTAAAATATTTTAAATAAAAATCTCTTGAAGCAAAGAGAGTTGCTATGAATATGATAAAAACAATCCAGAATCTTATACAAAGGGATCTGCCTCTGTAATTTCCTCAAAGTCTGTTCTTATTCACATTTCAGAGAACTAAATAATGCTGTACTTTTTTGAAATGTTGATGTGCTCTAGGTCAAGCATAGGATTTGTTATTATTTTGAGAGCGGCTTTCTATTTTTGTCTTTCTTTTATGAAGTTTAGTTTTTACCTTTTCCAGTCTTTCAAAGTATTCCCGGAGGAAGCCCATAGGTCTCTCAGGTCGCACTGTGCAAAGCTGGACAATGCAATCTTTCAGGAGTTGCTGGATGTTATGTTTTTGGACATAGTGCTCACATTCACGGAGGCTACGTTCTTCTTCACTGCTGCTACTGCCAGAGGCTGCCATTGCTGGTATCTGAAAGAAAACATATTTGAAACACTCTAACTTCCATTGCAACCTTAGTGTACTAGTAGTGTACACTAAGTATATTAGACTTATGTCCCTCAGCAAACATAGCAGTTGAACATTAACTTATTTGCAGACCTAATAGTTGGTTATAATGTGGGGAAAAGTCAGAAAAAATTAGAGCATAATTCAATCAAAGCCCATGTTCAATTATCTTAGGAATGTCAGATAAGCTGCTTCCAACAATGAACATGAGGGTAACATAATAAGTGAAAATAAACGATTTTACTAATGGTAGTAAAAACTGATTGGAAAGAAAGCTGCTGTAATTAAATTAAAATATTCATTAGTAGATTTTCTAAAAATAATTATGGAAATAAAGAGTATATTTCAGCTGATCACCACTTACTTGAGATGAAGTCAACAGCAACTACAGGTATGCACAGAATTTGCAGGAGACTGTTAATCCCAGTATCACCTTTCAAAACGGAAGTAAGAAAGTAAATAGCTGGAACACCCCAAAGTCCTATTAATACATGTTTCCTATGTGACATATTTAGATACATGATTATATTCTTACAGTTATAAACACATGCCCTGGATTTCCATAGCTGAGGATAATTTGCAGATTAAATACAAAATGAAGATGCTGAATAATTTCCCCTTCAAAACACTGTATTCTTGTCAATTCTTGCAGAGTTTAAAGGTTGCAGTAAACTTTTTTCTGGTTGAACAGCACACATATGTTTAGATGGCATTTACAATCATATTGCCTTAAGTTTTGTAGTATCAGCTAGCTCATCTGTTTTGACAACTTGCATAATAAAGGTCAGTAACACACAGCTTAATTAAATGTCCAAGAATTACTCTGTAGCTCTATAACAGCTTGCAAATTAGTCTGTGGAAAAAACATTCACACTGTTGACACGCAGCAGCAGACAACAGTGCAAAAACTAGACAGAAACTTTTTTCTCAAGTATTTTATGAGGCATGCCAAGTAGAAGTCATCCCATTTTTATGTATAATTCACCTTAAGAACAATGACTATGTATTTTTACACATGCTGTATCAAGTGAAATTTCAATTGCATAAACAACTTTGTTTCCATCAGTATTTGCAATGTGAAGTAAATGGATTCAAAGTAAAACCCGTCTAAATTCACTGCAATTAAAGTCTGCTTTCAGACAAAGAAAATATATTTGCTACCTACACGAATCATTAGAGATTAAAAAAATGAACAAAAATCTAATCTAAATATGAAAAGATTCTAAATGAGTGACAAAAGGAATCCTCCATTTTATTGAAATAACGCTGCATACCTGAAGAATAGACTATTACAGGGCCCTAATAACTTTCAACAGTCTGAACCACTTAACATATTTCAAGGTAAATTCCCTATAATTCTCCTAAGTGGGGTGGGGGGAGAAAGCAACTGGGGAGTTAGAAAATGCTTTTTCTGTTAAAAAGTAACTGTTAGTTCGCCAGGACAGGAAAACCGAGATATTCAAGAGATCATAAATTATAGGTTATTTTAAACTTAGCAGTTTTTATCTATGACAACAGTCTCTCTCATTTTATCCAAGGACTAGTCATTAAAGTCAGAATAAGCATTAGATGTCCATTTCTATCAGAAGGAGACAAAATGCTGACAAAAATCTGGAGGATGTCATTTTTACTACTGTATAAGAAAATGATATAGGACCTTTCCCCATACCCTAGGAAAGCACCTTGTGCAATTTCAGGCAAGTTGCAGCGACTCTCTGGGTGTGGGTGTGATCGATCTGATTTTTCTATAGGAACTTATGAGCGCAAATATAGCCCAACATAAAGCATTCTGGAAAAGACCCAACAAACATGCCATCAAAACATGTAAAATCAATCTAAACTCCCTGATGACTACATGGACACATCCACCATGTTTTGACAACACTACTGAAGTCGTTTGGCATTCTTTACCTCTGGGGTGTGTTTTTTCCCCCTCCAATCTTGTTTGCCTAGGTTTCCTGAGATCAGAGCAGCCAGCATTAACTAGGTCTGCAACCACACTAAACTATGTGGTAAATTGCTAAGGGTTTTGCTTTTAATATATGACCTAGAGATACCCTAAAATAAATCAAAATATTGAAAACAGCGATCCAAGCATTAGTTTACCCCCCCTTTTAACAAGACCATCAAGACTACTTTGTTTTTTTAACACATACAAGGCCTGTATTAATAAATTAATAAATCCTATTCTCAATACAGCACAATCCTGCCTTCTCAGGTAAATACAAAGTTTGTCCCTAAATGGAAGAGCTGAGTGGCTTATTTAAAAAAAAAAAAAAGATGTCCTCCCCCCCCAAAAAAAATAATCTCTCTGTTAGTGGCATCAAAGCCTTCCTCATGTTTGCCTCAAGGGTCACCAGCAATAAAAATAAAAATAAAAAAAATAACCCCCAGCCAGCCGCTACTTCAAAGCAGGGCTTCCTCCCCAATTCCTTCTCGCTTTGTGCCTATGCGGCGACATCTCCCGGGAGCCGCGCTGATGCTCCCTCCGCTCCTCGCGTGCAGAGCCGCCGCTTGTTGTCTCCCGGTCCCCCCCCTCCAAAGCCAGGCACAGCGCGGCCCCCGCCGGCGCCCTGCCCCGCTCCCCCCGCAGCGTACTTTGCAGCGTCCCCCCCCCGCCCGAGCCCCTAACCTCGTCCCCGAGACCCCCAACGGTCCTCCTCCTCCTCCCCCTCGCCGCTCGACGGTTTCCACAGAGGCCTCGAGCTCCTCGCGTCTCCCGGCGCAAAAGCCGCCTCAGCCGAGCGCGCCTCTCACCGGCCTCGCTGCACCCCTGCGCGGCTGCGCCCGAAGCCCCCCCGGGAGCGACTCGATGCCCGGCCCCGACTTACCCCGGGTTCGAGCGGCGACTCACTGCCTGGGCCTCTCCGCGATGGGCAGCCCCCTCCTCCCGTCCCGATTTGCGGCCTCCTTCTCTTTCTCGGCAATCGCTCCCACCGGAAACCCAGCTCTCTCCGCCAATCACCGCCCAGCGTGACGTCAATGCGCCTCGTTCTCACTTGCCGAACCGTCCCCCAGGCAACCTTAAAGGGGACGCGCCACGTTCCGTCCGGCTCTCCTTCCCCCGCTGTACAGTAGCAGAAGCCAGAGCGAGAAGGAGATGAGGGGGTGGGGTGGGGTGGGGTGGGGAAGGAAAGCCGCTGGGCGCAATTGCTGGCTTTTCCTTTAATTCCCGCTGACGTCAGACTGCGGGTTGAAACGGCACCGTCGCCCTCCCCTTTCCCCGAGCGTGGAGCACGAGGGTGGGGGAGATGTGCCTTAGGAAGGGAGACCGGAGGCGTCGATACGCTGGCGGAGCGTCGGTTTCACTCTTGCAGCAGTTGCAGTAAACTGCATCAGTGTAAACCAGGGGTAGTCAACCTTGGCTCTTTTAGGACTCGTGGACTTCAACTCCCAGAATTCCTGAGCCAGCTAAGCTGGCTCAGGAATTCTGGGAGTTGAAGTCCACGAGTCCTAAAAGAGCCAAGGTTGACTACCCCTGGTGTAAACAATGGCAGAAAAAAAGCAGTTGCCGATTGCTTGCTGGCAATTTCTTGCGGCGAAAGCGAGAGGGTTTTGTCTCGAAATGTAAATTGCATTTCTAAACATTGAGGTCACCCTATCCAACTTAGCGGCACTCGCCTTTGGACCTGGCAGAAAGAAATAGACTCGTGCATTGCGATTTCTCAGACTCCCGGTAGCTAGGCAAAACTGTCAGTTGTTGCGGAACTGCTACTCCCAGAAACCCTCTCTAATCATCACCACCACCATCGGGGCTGCTGGGAGTTTATACGAAATTTTACAGGGCCTGGACGTGGATGGAGTGTTCTCGTAGACGTGATAAATGCAAAGGGTTAAAAAGCTGTGGATATGTTTCTCAAAATTCTCCTAGATGTGGCTCTTTTTTTTTGCTGGATGCAAGCCGATGTATTTTGAAGGATCCGTTCTTGCAAAATAGAAATGCAATTTAAAAAGGCTAAATTACACGGCATTTAAAATGGGCTGGGCTTCTGTTTCTATTATGCTGCTGCTTGGTAAACATCAGCGTCACAAGATACTTCTTGACAATTATGTATTTGTTTGCTACCAGGTTTGTATGACACTATATCACATCAAAATACTATCAATATATAACAAGTATTGAAAGCCCAAGTTAATGTTAAAGTGCACGGCATAAATAAAAGAGCTCAGCTTGTTTTCATAGTTGATTTCATATTAAGATTATTATTATTATTATTATTATTATTTATTGAATTTATATACCGCCCTATCTCCCTTACGGAACTCAGGGCGGTGAACAAGCGATAATAAAAACCACGATAAATATACACAAGTTTCTGTTCTAAAATCAAATTAAATAACAGGCCTGCTCTAAAAGTACCCCATACAAAACCCCCACTAAAACATAATCAAACTACGCCAGGCCGGCCGCACGGAATAGATGGGCCTTCAGGGCTCGACGAAAAAGGTGCAGGTCCGCAACTGTACGTAGGTCGGGGGGTAGGTCATTCCAGAGGGCAGGAGCTGCCACAGAGAAGGCTCTCCCCCTGGGGGTCGCCAGCCGACATTGACTGGCCGACGGCACCCTAAGGAGGCCCTCTCTGTGGGAGCGGACTGGTCGAAGGGAGGTGTTTGGTAGGAGGCGGTCTTGCAAATACCTAGATCCATTGCCACAGAGCGCTTTAAAGGTTGTTACTAACACCTTGAAGCGCACCCGGAAGGCCACCGGCAGCCAGTGCAGCTCGCGCAGGAGAGGTGTTACATGGGAGTATCTAGAGGCCCCCAGGATCCCCCGCGCGACCGCATTCTGAACTAGCTGGAGCCTCCAGGTGCACCTCAAGGGGAGCCCCATGTAGAGAGCGTTGCAATAGTCCAGGCGGGAAACAACGAGGGCTTGAGTGACCGTGCGTAGAGCGTCCCGATCCAGAAAGGGGCGCAACTGGCGTATCAGGCGAACCTGATGAAAAGCCCCCCTGGCCACGGCCGTCACATGGTCGTCTAAAGACAGCCGAGTATCCAGGAGGACGCCCAGGTTGCGGGTCCTCTCCGCGGGGGCTAATGACTTGCCCCCGATAGCCAGGGATGGAGCCAACTGGCTATGTCGTGACGCCGGAAACCACAGCCACTCGGTCTTGGACGGGTTGAGTTGAAGCCTGTTCCTCCCCATCCAGACTCGCACGGCCTCCAGGCACCGGGACATCACTTCTGCGGCATCGTTGGGGTGGTCCGGGGTGGAGATGTACAGCTGGGTGTCATCTGCGTACTGATGAAACTCCACCCCGAAACCACGGATGATCTCACCCAGTGGCTTCATATAAATGTTGAACAGGAGAGGCGAGAGGACCGACCCCTGTGGTACCCAAGTGAGGCGCCTCGAGGTTGACCTCTGCCCCCCTGCCAACACAAATTGCGTCTGGTCCGAGAGGTAGGAGAACCACCGTAAAACGGTGCCCCCCAACCCCAACCCCCTAACCGGTGCAAGATACCATGGTCGATGGTATCAAAAGCCGCTGAGAGGTCTAGCAGGACCAGGATAGAGGAACACCCTCTATCCCAGTGGTTCTCAACCTGTGGGTCGGGACCCCATTTGGGGTCAATCGACCATTTCATGGGGGTCGCCAAGCAAGGCTGTCCGCCATTTTTTTTGTCCGCCATTTTTTTTGTCCGCCATTTTTTCCCCCTTTTCCGGCGGGTGCCTTACCTTCCTTGGGCTGGGCCAGCTGGTGGTCGGCCTGCTCCGTCTCTGCCGCTTGCCAGCTACGCCTCGGCCGGCGCAGGGGGCGGAACCACACATGCGCGGCGCTCCCGGGCAGGGAAAGTCCTCGACTTACGACTGGTTGGGTAGTCCTCGACTTACGACCGGTTTAGTCCTCGACTTACGACCGGTTTAGTCCTCGACTTACGACCGGTTTAGTCCTCGACTTACGACCGGTTTAGTCCTCGACTTACGACCGGTTGGGGTCGCGGCATTAAAAAGGTTTATTTATTTATTTATTAAATTTATATACCGCCCTATCTCCCTTGCGGAACTCAGGGCGGTGAACAGGCGATACTAAAAACCACGGTAATAAATAGTTTGTTTTAAAATCGAATTAAATAACGGGCCTGTTCTAAAAACACACTGCTCTATCCCGAGAACCACTGCTCTATCCCGAGCCCTCCAGAGATCATCATCCAATGCGACCAATGCCGTTTCTGTGCTGTGCCCAGGCCGGAAGCCGATTCTCTAGCTCAGTGATGGCGAACCTTTTAGAGACCGAGTGCCCAAAAACTGGCCCCGCCCCTGCTCCACCCTCTGCCCCGCCCCCACCCCGCCTGCCCACAGGGCCACTCACCACCTCCAGGGCCCACCGCAGATCACCCAGGCAGCCCAGCAGCACCATGACACCCTCTGCCCAGGCCCCACAGCATTAACTGTGCGCGATGGGGCGTGAGGGCAGAGTCTTATCTACGCTGCCTGGTTGCCATGTCCTTGGCTACGCTGCTCCGTGTGGGCCATGCTCAGGGGCAACTCTCCTCCAGGGGGCTGCTGGTGAGGAGGGGGTTGCAGGGGGAGGCAAGGCTGGGGCAATGGCATGTGTACCCACAGAGAGGGCTCTGAGTGCCACCTCTGGCACCCGTGCCATAGGTTCGCCACCACTGCTCTAGCTATTCCTAGGATTTGCTTTTTCATATTTTTGGTATATCTCTAAATCTGCATAACTTGATATTTCCAACTGTGTTGGCCAAGCTGTTGAAACTATCCATTATATTTAGTTTTATATTGAAGGAATCATGATTAAATGAGGTTTTGCCATTATATAAAAGCACGTATTGCTGTGTTTCCCATTTCATACCTTTAAAGTTCATCCCTACTACAAAGTTAAAATTTGTTGCTTAAGATTTGAGCACTCTTGTATTTAGGTTTATTATACATACATAAAGTCCTGAGAGTCTCCGTGCACTTTTAATTTTTAGGAACTTCTACATAATTGAACAGGGATGGAATTTTTAACCAAGTTTTTTCATGAATCATTTATTTCAATTTCTTTATTTTTGAGGTCATAAAATCATAATAAAAAAGAGTTACTGTGAACAAAAGGTAATTTGTGCTCTCCAGTTAACTGAAGTCAGAATCAGCTGTCAGAAGAAAATCTAAATCAGGGGCCTTCAAACTTGGCCTTTTTATGACTTGTGGACTTCAACTCCCAGAATTCCTCAGCCAGGCACACTGGGAGTTGAAGTCCAAAGTCATAAAAGGGCCAAGTTTGAAGACCCCTGATCTAAATCTTAGAAGCATCCCAAAGAAATTCAACTACAAGAGCAAGCAAGGGTGTTCAACCTTGGCAACTTTAAGACCTGTGGACTTCAACTCCCAGAATTCCCCAGCCAATATGAATCCTCAAAACAAAATTATATTAGCACAGGTACATGACTCAGGTCCACCAAATATTGTTAGAAGACTATGATGCAATATTAATTGTCTGATATCATTTTAATGATTAGGTTGAAAATAACTTTGCTTAATAGATCATTGTTTAGTGATGAAAGAACATCAGCAGGTTAATTGTCGTAACTGCTGTATTTGAGCAACACAGGAACCACATAGAGTTTGAGAACATGAAAGAGATTCTCCTGAAGGGAACATCTGCTGTGGTCTAGAAAAATTACACAAAATTAGTTCATTCTTTTGCGGAAGATCTATTGTGAATGATGAAGCGTATTTGGACATTCTGCAGAATTTATTCTTGCATAGAGGCAATCAGAACTTATCAAGAGGACTCTTTCAGCAAGATGTGGCACTTTTCTACTTTGCCCACAGTGTTCAAGAATATTTAAATGAGGTTTTCCCCAATAAATGGAGTGAGAAAGCCTGCATCCAGATGATGGTTATATAGAAAGTTCACACTCCTACAAATAAAATATATTAAATTCTTTTTCTCTTGCATATTACATATTACTTAAAATATATAT